CATGGCTGGTCCGGCGAATCTTGCCGGACGACACGTGCAACAACCTAAGCGATCGGCTACGTCGTGGACACCCTGTACAATGCGAGCGCCACGTGTAGTTGAGACGAGCTCAACAAATGCTTACATCGGACAAGCATTCCTAGAATAACATGAACACAGAACGAACCGGTCTGGAAGTAGCAACACGTTGAATGGCGAGAGCAGCAATGAGAGGAGTCGCAGCACCAGTAGCCCGAGTAGTGCATCAAGCACAGGCTACTGTGCAGTGTCCTCAATTCCCGTTACAGCTTCTTCAGCATCTCCACTCGTTCCTCCAGCTGGTGCAGAGTGACCTGGCAAGCTGCAGCGATTTCCTCCTGTTGGAAGGCATGATTGAGATCGTCATTTCTACAGAGGCCACGAAAGCAAAACGCGTCCCTTTTGCATCCATGTGTGTTTCTACGAAGGAATGTACAAGCTTCGCATGGCCTGGGCCGCCTAGCAGCTAGATCTCAACAAACCTTCGAGAATGCTGAGACTGGATCGGGCCCTGAGTGACTGGAGGACCGAGCATGGCTCCGAAGGATCAGCCGAGAGATCTGCGAGGTCAGAGCGCACTTGCAGATGTTAGGGTCAGATGCGGCTTGCGGTCCAGTGTTCAATGTGAACGGAATAAGGGCAAACTCTCCGTCCAAAGCCGCGAGGATTGCAAATACCAGCCAACTAGGTCTTGGCAGGCCTGAGACATGTCGTGGCCAGATCTCTTGATGCTCTGGTACGTCCTGGGCACATCGTCTGACGGTTTAAGGTCTCTTGGTCGTAGAGTTTCGGGGTCGCGGGATTGAGGCGTTACAAAGCTTAAAGGCTTAAGCCCAAAGCATGCCGGGATGTTCCGAACTACGATTCACGCAAGTATCTTGCATGAGCAACCCCGGAATCCGAAACCGTGCAATCGCATAGGATCAAAGCACTGTCACAGAGGGTGTGGCTTCTAGTATTGCTAAAGTTTATAAGGGATCATGACGAGGCCAATGATGCTGCTAGCGGATCTTACTGGCTTCAAGAAGAGCTAGCACGATAGCAACGAGTTAGCATGCCCCCCCCCCTCCGAGTAGTCACTGACAGGGCAAATACGGTTGCAACTTGTTCGTGCCGAAGTTTCTGCTCAGGTGCGCAGGTCCCGAAATCTTTCTGTGTCAGTGTAAGGTACACAGCAGCTGCTCTAACATGTTCTAGAAAATCCAGCAGGCTCACCAAGGAGATGAGTACACGAACTGTCTGCGAAACGACTACGTGACACAATGGTGGCATCAGGACTACGCAGTATGCAGCAATGTGATTTAGACCCAATTTGGCCCTTTTCTTGAATCAGCCCTATTTCAAGCCGTCTGTAAACCGCCTGTCCGTGCCACATTCATCTCACATGCGCCAGGGCGCTTGATGAGGTTCTTCTTAACGTGGGCTGCCGGGTTTTCCTGCACACAGGCGACACGAGCGAACACTTGGGAGCTCTCAGCTTTCGGAGAGCAGGTTCTGAGGGCGGGGTTTTGCAATCGGCAAAGGGTCTGTGATTGTTGGGAGGCCTTGAGAACTGGTTTTGGGTTATGTGGAACAATACTTCTACTAAGAACTGCACGGGAGTAACAACATTCATCATTCTGGCATCCAAGATAGGATAGGATAGGGTCTGGGAGTGTGCAGGAATCCGCCGTCAGAGAGACCTGCCCATATCGACACGCTTGGAAAACCACTCCCCAAGAGACGGATAACTTCAAGACTGATCTGACAGACAGGAGACGATGCTTGGACACGTTTGGCGGAGCTTGCGGTTTTCTGGAGCTGAATCTGTTCTGAAGGAGGCTTCCGTCTGGAGTCTGGAGTTCCGCACGGCTGCAGTTTGTCCCAAAATTCTGAACTCTCGAAACCCTGGACTTATGGCTTTGCATCACCCAAAGCGTCGCCGAGGGCAAAGCCGGGAATTCCCAGAGCAGCGTTCCATCGGACCTCAGGAGAAGGATTCAGGATACGGGCATGAGGGTGCGTCTATGTAAGCCTTTGTCGGGATTTCGGCCGTGCGGAGCTTGAAGGGCTAAACTGCGTACCCTAAGCCCTTGCGGGGCTTGGGGTTTAAGTCGAGGGAGTCGAGGGATGTTTGGTTGGGGGCAGTGGGATCTGAGAGCTTCAGGTGGAATTTGTAGGGGTCTGGGTAATTAGACATGGTATTTCCTTGTGGTTACTAATACTATTATACTATGCAGCTAGGCACGGAGTTTAGCCAAACGCTAAAAGGGCGGGCCGGTATCTCTCAAACCCTGTGAAGCCCATTTTAGAGACCCTACGGGATGCTATTGAAGAAACCTATTAACCAACCAACCCTTCTACGATCCCTGTGAGGCAATTCGTTTGGATGCATATGCGGGCCTTAGCCACTCAAATCGGGCTTTGGAGTACAGGTCGTACTAGAACTATACAGGGTCCATAAGGAGATCTTACAACTCATTGTTCTCATTAATCAGACCCCTACGTACATGGAATCTACGGCTCAAAGGTGTGGGTTTTGGGAGATGGTGTCTGGTGTAGCTTGAGATCTTGGGTTTAGGGGTTCTTCAGGCTCGAACGTCTTTGGGTTTGGGGTCCAGGGTTCACATCACAAGCAGGTATGGTCAAGAGGTTTAGGGCTTGGGACTACATCGGAAAGGCTTAGCTGGTAGCTCTGGGCTGAAGAAGTATCTTCACCTGTCGCCGCGTACCGCAAGATAGAACGCTGTTTACCGTCATTGTGCCGAGGAGTAGTGGCAACTCCTGCGACTCCTCGTAGAATATCAAAGTCGTGAGAGCGGCCTTGAAGGAACCTGACCGCCCATGAATCCCAATAAAGGCCTAAGACCAAGATCCTTAATTCATTTGATCCTCGGTACTCGACCCTAAAACGTCCACTGCCAGCTTCGCTTGCTGATTTACGCATCCTGGAATTCCCAGATTGCAGGGCTGCGAGTGTATCCGACACCCTGATTGCCTCACGTCCACAAGAACCGCCCGGAAATCCTCAACTTTGGAAAGCTTACGCTCTTAGCTCTAAAGCCTGACATCTCAGCCGCAGGCCCTAAACCCTGAACGCTTTTCAGGGGCTCTGCCCGAAAGACCGATTGTCAGGCGCTGGCCTCTTTTCGATCTGCAGGGATGGGTCATTCTTCAGCCGATTCCTGGCGTGTGTACATAAGAGCTTCAGGGTTCATGGTGGGACGAAGATAGAGCGACAATGAACAAAGAATATCCATAGATGCGAAGCCTAGACATGATGAGAATCCTCGCAGGAGGCGAGGTGCCCACTGTTGCATCTGTCACGAGACTTGCCCGACAAGAATTTCAGAATACAGGGTAGATTGCGCAGAAACTGACAATAGGACGACGCATTTCAGCAGCCACCGAATTCACCGTTCAAGGTGCCAGTCTGGGTGAACTACTGTTCCGGCGGCACTTTAAGCATCCGCTATACGGCGTAAGGTTTACGGTCTGGGTTTCGTCTTTAGGGCATCCGCCTTTTCCGGAGCAGTGCATATTGATCGGTTCGGTGGCCTTGCCATCCCTGCAGCTCACACGGCCGTGATGATTCAGACGAAGGCAATGAGAATGATCATGATGTCGGGATAGCGGATATTGGTATGTCGAACCCTCCATCGTTGCACACCACTGGGCAGAGGAGTTTTGAAGCCGAGAGAAAGTCTCCAGCATGGCTGGCTACGTTTTAGGGATTTGCTTTTGTGCTAAGCTGGGGATGAGCAACTGCGCCGGCCGGACTCGATCTGGCAGATCCTCGCCGCATCCAGTGGGAGCTTGGCATCTGACGTCGCGCGGCGTGCGAGAGTCTCATGGTAATAAGGGACGTTTTTTTGCCCAAAACCTGTACTAAACCGGATATACCTTCAACATCAACCCGAAAAGCCGCAAAACCGAAGAGGGCTATGTACTCTAAAGAAACCCTACATGCCATATGCAAAACCGTACAGTGGGTTGTATAATATAGAATAAAACCATGGTAAGGAACTTTTCTGGGCCCTCAGGAACAATGGTGGCAATCATTGAAGTTTCAAACTTATGTCGCCGGAACCCGGCCAATTGGTCGGTCCAGGTCACCCCACCCATCTAGTCTAAGCATTGGTGGGACAATATGTTTTGTGTGTTCTGTACGTGCAACTGCGATATGACCTCCATAATTTATCTGCAAGGACATCCCGTGTTCCTAAACCCAAGAAAATCCGAAGAACACCCACCCAGGCCCAGACACACCCTAAACCACAAGTACTACGTCTTTCTTCATGAAGGCTAAACCCCAGCGGCAAAACCCTAAGACCATGATGTGGGAGTTTCCGAAGATTAGGGGTACCTTACTTTGGGGGTCCTTACAATAAGGATCCTATTGTTTAGGCTACTATGTTAGGGTCCCCTATTTTCGGAAACCCCAATATGTATGAAGCATAAACAATCTCAAAGTTCAGCGCGCTTTTTTCCGTTGAACCACCAGTATAAGTGTAAACAAACACACGTATAAATCCAACAGAACCAGCACAGAAGCCCTTCAACAGCCAAATAGGAAGAAATGTCCCTATATCTCCTGTGCCCCTATGCAACCCCAAGCTCGTCCTTATATGGGCTATTTGGATTAACCCTGCCATCAGCAACCTGCGGCATCAAGTGATTGCTTTAGGGTCACGACTCTGTGGGGTTGGAGTACCCAAAAACCCTGTAACATACCTCCACTCGGCCATACACTTTATTACACAGCCCAAGTTCAAGCCCCCCCTGGTTGGGACCATGAAACTGAAGAGGGACAAATGCCGTCTCCGTCAGTCTTACTTGGAGGCTCTGTCGGGGCAGGGCTTCCAATCTTTTGGCCTCTCCTGTTACAGGTCCCTGTGTTCTTGTTTGAAGTTGTGGGGGCTTGAAGCTAAGGTCAAACGTCGGCACGTTTTATCACCTCATCATATGCCCTGAGCACTAGCATAGTGTCGTGCAGTGACGCACTACGCGTAGAAGGCGGTACTACTTCGTACTCCAAGCTGACTCGGATGCGCTGCAGAATGGGCAACTCCTCCTCGAGGAGAATAGTGCCACTTGCCGCCTTTGATAAACAAACCAGCACTCGTCTGCCCAGCTTGCGCGGCGAATTCCCCCGATAGGGCCACCCAGAGTGGTCGTTCTGTCATCCAAGAGTCAAGCTCGTCCGCCTTCAGAATCCGCAACCCACTCAGCAAGCGGCCAGCAGCGGATTTCTCCAACGTGTGACCGCACTGCTGGGCCCGATCCTTGGCCTGAGGCCCACTCCAAAAAACATAGGGCACGCCAGCTTGAGTGTGGGGAGGGCAGTGCCTATGTATCATGCGAAGCAGTTCCGCAAAAGTGGCTAGGGCTTCATTTTCCAAACGCATGTTAGCCAAGCGGAAGCCCCGAAGAAGAAATGTCAAAATCCGCCGTGCTGACTTGGCACCGATGCCAAGTTTTCGGCACCGCTGCAGCCATTCAGGATATGATGGAAGTTTTTGACCTGCGTCCAAGCAGTGCAAGTTGTTCACCCCAGAACGACCAGATGTCGCAAGCAGGGAGCGAGTCCTGATCCTTGACGAAGCCCAAGTCCATGGACTCAAGGGGCACGACGGCACCAGCTTGAATCGCCGAAACTTGCTAACTTGTTGGAAAACTGCCCATGCAATGAAGAATCCCGTTGTCAGACGAAGTAGGAGTGTGTTGTCCGGATCAGTCGTGGGCTCACCTCTGATGTCAAGATACTGAATGGCCTCCAGGCCTATATAAACACAAGGACCGTTGATTGCAAGATTGCAGCTGTAGCCGCTGGCGGATTGCAACATTCAGTCTTCACATTGAAAAGTATTTTACACCATTGGAGCACTTGGTGGCAACCAGCTGACAGTACAGAACTACGAATGTGATTGCAGCTAGATGGGTTTTGAGTGGTGTGTACCGCTCATAACTCCACCAGAAATCTAGCAGCATGATAATGGTAGGTATTGCGGCTTCTACATTGCAAAGCAATGTAGGGAACCTGGGCCACCACGAAGAAGATATAAGGGGACACTTTCCAACCAAGCACTTTGACAACTTGCTTCCTCAATGTTCCGTAGCTGCCTTGAAAGAAGGAAGGTGCCTGCGGAACATGTGCATGACAAAGGTTAGCAATTCTGGTGAAAGCTTGCTCCGGCATCTTCCGACATCCTCTCTCAGAGTCGTTGGGTTTCAGGCTTGTTTAAGCCGACACCCCAAAAACCTGCTCACCTGCATTCCCAACCCTAGCTTTCCTCGCGCTGGGAATCCTGAACCGAAGAGCTTAAGAAGCACGCCGCTGCCGGGCCTTTGTTCGTCCGCGTGACCTGGGCACAGAAAACTGGGCTCTGTCGCTCTCTTGGACCGAAGGGAAACCGGAACAGCACTTAATCGAAATATCGCCAAGCGAATCTTCTGTGTTGGGTGGAAGAGATTGGCAAAGGCTCGGGGCGAGGTCGGGGTTTAGGCTCCACCTGATTTGCTTGTGTTGTCTGGTTCCGGAGGAAGTCCCGATGCATTCTCAACCCGCGCCGACTAGCTGGCATAGCGTTCATGGGGTCGCAACATGACCTGACCCTGGCATGCAAGAACTTACACTAATAATCTACGTAGCTTGTGAGTTCACAAAACAGTGTCACGGAAAGCTTAAACTGTCATGGCACGAGACTTGACAACTCTACAAGCTGCTGTGCCATGAATCGCAGCGCAAGACCGATATGAGGATACTGACAGGCGATGATCATGTTGACGAGGGCAACAAGGATGTCCGTGCGGTCAGGCGCTACCGTAAGACGCATGACCATGCTAGGAGCCGCCGTCATCAACAACGCTCATCCTCGTCACCACCATGTGCATCAGAATTGTCGTCGGCGCAAGCATCAACGCCAACATCCATCAATTCCATCGTCATGATCATGAAAGCCGATGGGCTGTCTTCTTGGTGAGGCTCTCGAGCGACTTCTTCGTCAGTGCATCGATGGACTCGTCGTTATCCTCTCAGGGATGAAGATAGACAACTTTGTGGTTTGATCTTTGGATCACATCTATGTATATACCTATACTAATATCATTACTGCATGGGCACACGGACGAAGCCTCAAGCGAACTTGTATGACGGAGATCTTGGCTGCTGAATCCGTTAGCTGCACAGTACCCCTCGTCCGAAGTAAGCCAGGCCAGCTGTTGGTGATCCTTCGAAATCCAAACACACTCCAAACCACAAAAGCCCAATACAACAAGCATCAAGTTTTAAGTAAGGTATTTCGAACTGCGTACTGCCTTACCTGCCAACCAACCCCTTGTCAAGTCTAAGCATTTGCGCAGCCCATGACCGGGAACTTAGATGCAAGCAGGGCTGGTCCTCATGAGAGTTTCTTCTCACTACAGGTGACACTCCCTGCACCATGGCATAACTTCTGGTTAATCACGCAGACACTGGCATTGCTGAAGGCTTCGGTTTTTGCGGTGCTCGACGGGACGGCTCACGAACACCTTTGTACTTGCATAGTGTCGTTCGATCACGAGTTTGGTCGTTGCGTCTTTGGCCAGTGGGTCAGTGTAGATCCGGAGACCTTGCTGTACATGGCGAAATACAGGGGGCTGGGTAATTGGAACAGGGTTTATTACATATAGTATACCCCTGAAACAAAACGCTGTTCTGATGAGTAAGGCTCCTAAACTTCCTAAACCACTGAAGAACCCTCTCACAGTACCCCTTTTCAATGATTCCTTTTCCAGGGAGCCGGCAATTCGTCTTACTAAAGCCCCTGCAAGGACCCGGGCCTTGTCCATCGTCAGCTCGTTCATCTCACCCTCCACGTCAGCCAAGCGGACGTGCTCGACATGCTCCTGGAAATCCGTTTGTGGCTGAGGGTTCAAGGATTTGAGATGGTTTTGGAGGGTAGAGGGCTCCGTGTGGGTATGTGTTTTAGGGGCGGGTGTCCCGAGCACCGTAGCTCTGCCCAGAACCCGATGCATCTGCAACAGAAACTGCTCACTCGCTGTGCCCAAACTGACGCCGCCTTCCTGTCATGGAACCCTATGGAGAGCAGCGAATGTTAATGTTTGCAGAAACCATTGTGGAGCTTCTCGAACCCCCAAAGGGCCGCCCTTCTAGAGCAGGGCCGCTCCGATCGGGCGAAGTCTCGGCCCTCCAAGCGGGCCTCCGAAAGGCGGAGTACTCGAAGGCTCAGGGCTCGTCAGGTTGGGGAGGGTTCCTTTGCAAAGTTCCTTTTTAAGGGCTGTTAAATAGAAGGATGCGAAAGGGTCTTTGAGGGCTTGAAGGCTTTGGAGTTTGGGGGGTTTAGGCTTGTTCAGGCATTCGGGGGTTGAGAGCCAAGGCAGTAAAGCTTGGGGTGCGAGGATTTACGGGTTAAGAGAGATCCTCTCATATAAGGTCCGGGGGAGTGTAGGTTTTAGGATCTGCGGGATTGGGAATTTCGGAGTTTATGGTTTAGGATTCCAGGACATGTGGTGTTGGAGCCTATAGGTTGTGAGGCTTCCAGGTTCGGGATTTTGGGTTCGTAAACTCTGAACCCCAAAAATCTCAGGCCCAGGCATCTAGGATCTCTGGTTTGATGTTAGTGCTTTGGAGTTGTGGTGAGGACATGTGCGTTCAGAGTCCGGGCATCGGGACGTCGACGGCTTAGCTTGCTGACTTCTTGTTCTTTTTGAGGCGTTGAAGGCACGGTGTGCAGTTGCTCTTGGAGGTCATGGTGTAGGGCTCAGGTGGCAGGGTGTAGTGTACGGCAGGCACCGGTTTGCGGCTCGGTTTTCGGGTGCAGGTTTTGGGGCGCTGCAGTTTACCTGGTTCGCGGCTTTTGGATTTGGGGTTGAGTCGATGTGGGCATCCGGATGCGGATTCGGGCTCAGAGCTTCCTTGATGTCTTCAGTGACCACAGGATACAACATCATGACGAGCGGTGTTGCGAATGACACTATCGAAAAGGTGCATGCAGCACAACTGTGCAGATGGCTTGGTAGCGGCTGATGCAAGAGCTGCTGCTACTCATGTCGTGTTGATGCCGGATTCGTTGTCGTCGCTGTTGTCGCAAACAGCATCGCCTCTGTGTCTACCAACCCTAAAGCCCCAAAGCCTATATACAGCCCACCTAAAATCCTATAGAGTGCAATGAAACCTCAATACCCCAAGCATAAGCCCTAAGCTTTAATTTAATGCCTGACCTGTAACCCCATAACCCCATAATCCCCTAAACCCTAAACCCCTAAACCCCCTAAACCCCTAAACCCCATAACCCCATAACCCCATAAACCCTAAACCCCTAAACCCCCTAAACCCCTAAACCCCATAACCCCATAATCCCCTAAACCCTAAACCACTAAACCCCCTAAACCCCAAAACCCCATAACCCCATAAACCCATAAACCCCTAAAACCCTGCAAACCCAACCCCCGGATCTGAGAACCTTCAGCCGGTCAGCGGTCTCGTAGAGCGGTTCTATCGCATTGTCCTCAGGAGGCTGCGTCGAGGGAATAACATAGGAGCCTTAATAACTAGAGTAGGGTTCCTTTAAAGGGATCTATCAGGGTTACTATATAAGGGATCAAAAGGGTGCCTAAAAAAAGCATAGCGGCCTTAATAATTAGAATGGGGTTTGGCGGTAAAGGGCCTTGACTCTGTAAGGGTTACTAGAAGGGATCTATAAGGGTACGAAAAAATAGAAGCCGAATAGTTGGAATAGGGTTTGGAGGGATATATTATACTATACTTATAGGGCCCCTTTATTGCGGAGTGGTAGGAATATTGCTCGCACAGGGTTGTGGTGGGGCGTGCCATGGTGTTTTTGGGCTGCATGCTTTCTAGGTGCTCTTTACGGATCTTGTGAAGCGTAGAGGAGGGGTTGAAGGCTTGATGAGAGGAAGGTCTACGAGTCATCAGCAAGGTGCATTTAAGGGTGCAGGGGTTGTAACTGTGCAGGTTAGGGGTTTGGAGGTTTAGGGGTTTATGCAGGGGTATGGAGGATGACGGGTTTGGTTCACAAGTTAAGGGTTGAGGATCAAGGGGGTTAGCAAGCTAGGGTGTTTATCTGAGCTGCGGCACTTAGTCCCAGCAGAAAACTCGCTCTGCAAACCTTGGAATGTTCGAAGAGCATCCGGCCTCTGAAAGCTCCGATGCCGCTGAATGGGACTTTGAACCCGGCTTGAACTCGCAGCCCATCGCAACATGATTCATATTGGCAAGACCTTCTGAGCTTCGGCTCGTCTGAAAACCCGCTCGGCGCTCGTTCACTCCGCTCTTAGGAATGACATGGTCTGGGAAATCGAACCGACACTTCACGACCGCTGATCCTTGTGACTCTGGTTCCAGGCGCGTTGACTGTCATTGCGGCTAAAGGCACTAGCGGCTAGTAAACCTAGACGGAGGTCGCAGAACAGGTTCCAACTCAGACCCGAAGCTCGGCTTATGGGCTAAGGCAAGATCCGGAGCCCAAAAGAGCCCTGCATTCCATTCTGCGCGCCCACCCCCTGTGACACAAAATTTGAGGTACGCTCGTGGATCCCTTGATACGGATTTCCTCACTAGCATCCCTAGAGCCCTTCCTACAATCTCACTATGCACCCTTAGCCGTAGCCTTTAGCCATCTTAAGCCCTTGGAATCTCCATATAAGCCGAGCAAAGCCCTGTAGACCTCTAAGATGGGAATCCTGCAATCATGGAAACGGACCCGCCCCTCCCCTCCCTCCCCCGCCCGTCCAGAGGCAGCTTGAAGACGTCCTGACGACAGAGTCGGCTGAGGGATGCTAGCCTGTTTGCTACGAAGCTGAGGCTACAACTGGCTCTACCGGATGCTACTGCATGGGTATATAAGACCCTGTAAGGATATTCTTGCTGGCGAAAGGTCTTGTCTCCCTCTGAAAGTGCCAGACACTAATTTGGCACAGCCGGTGTGTGTCACGAACAAAGATGACCTGACAAGAACGACTTTGGTAACAAGACTGTCTGTCCACATGCCTGCCTGTCTGTAGCAGATGTTCATAAAGCAAGCAACTATATAAAAGGTCGCTACACACACACACACTCACACACACAGTCTCTCTCTCTCTCTCTCTCTCTGTCTCTCCCTCTGTTTCTCGCTCTTTATCTCTCCCAGTCTCTCCCAGTCTCTCCCTGTCTCTCCCTGTCTCCTCTGCCGCTCGTTCCTATCTCTCTCTCTCTCTCTCTCTCTCTCTCTCTCTCTCTCTCTTTCTCCCTCTTTGTGAAGCCGCGCAATTCAAAAAGCAACTAACTTGTATTGTAACAGCCTGGAGCCCACAGCCTACTATGTAACTTGGACCATCGATGCATCTGGGTCCCAGGCTTCACTGCCAAGGTTGGCCAAGGCACCGCCGCCACCTCGATCGGCTTGAAACTTCCCTGAACCTAAACCCTAAGCTAAAGACTTCCCAAGCGGGGAGCTAGAGTGCAACCTCTGGGATGAGACTGGGGCCGAAACGACCGCAACAGCTATTAAGCTTGTGGAGTCGCCTGCTAAGTTCATGCATATAAAACAGATGGAACCCGAAAAACAGTCGCTGATAGACTAAAGCTCACGGAAAGCTGGGCAAAACAAGGGTGTATTAAGGCTCGGGTTTGGGATGGGTGTTTGGTCTCGGTGCAGGTGCAGGGCTTGCCTTTAAAGGACTTGAGATGTAAAGACTTATGGAGGGATTCAACCGCGTACAGAGTACAAGTTTTCGGGCTCCAGGCGTACACCTTAAACCTCCACCTCAACCTCCAGACCGAAAGCCAACAAGTACCAAGTCTCAGCCAATCAGAAGGCCGACCCAAGACAAACGGAAGACTGAATCCGTCTCCCTCCTCTTCGTGTTACCGACATCGACAACCACAGTAACACCGCAGCTTGTAGGGAGCACCAGCAAATACTTACCGGGAGTCATAACTGCGACTACTCCGGCCGCATCTGTAACCAAGGAAACCCCAACCCAAGGCCACAGAAAATGATGCAAAATTGAACGAGCCCCTCGGCACAAGTAGAATGTCTTGTCCGAAGTAACTACTAGAAACAAGTGTTAAAGGGGTGGGCCGCAATGACTGCAATTGGGTCTGGGGATATACTACCTTGCAGGTAGAGATCTACTATAGGGCGACCTTTTTTGCTTAAGCATACTGCTCTCAAGGTTGGCCATCGACCACCAGGTTGAGTAGATACCCTTCCTCCACCATTGCGACAAGAAGTAGTTCCTGTAAGTGCGAAATTAGTCAGTCCCTAAAGTTCTAAGCAAAATCTAAACTCTGCAATTTCTTGCCCCTTACCTTGAGACGACCTTGAACCAGCATAAATCGTGAACCCTGCCTGGCCGTCCAGCTTCGAGATCTGGCTGCAATCCCGCAGCCTACCGCACTGAACACAGACGGGATTCGGCATGCGGGCTGATAGGCTGGCTTTCGGGTTCCGAGGGTGTAGGGTTTAGGGTTGAAGGCTAAGGCTTGCGGCTTGAAACTTGGGATTTACTGGTTAAGGGTCTAAGACTTACAACGATCGTACGAACACTGTGTGGTAATCCCAGCTTGCCTGCCTGGTCTCCCGCCTTAAGCCAGTGCTTCCCTCGGACCCCATCCAAAAACCTCCAACTGGCCATCTTCGAAGCTGGGACTCGACTGTGAGCTTGTGGAAGAGTGGAATGCAAGTGCTTCAAATGAAGGTCTGTTGGTCGGATCCTCGTTTGAGTGAACTCCTATTCCATTCATAAACTCATATTGTCTTGGGGCCCAAGCAAGATCCTCTTCAGGTATGTATAGCTGACAGGAAACACTCTTCCTATCGTGTGAGGAGCATAAGTGTACGTGAAAAAAAGCAGGGGCATCGAATTGCGCACTTCCGCTCAAGAGTCTGGGGTCAAACTGTCTTCGTCAGAACTGCCGCTTGTTTCAATGAGCTCTTGCCATTTGGCTACTGTAGAGACAACAGCAACTTTGAACACTGTAGATCACTAATCAACCCGTTTCTTGAGCATAGGGGTCTACACTGTACTACGCAGCGACAACTGGGCCGCGCAACCGGTCATCGCACGATCTGCATCTGGTCTTCTTGTTTGGAGTCTTCGGCCTAAACCCCGAACCCTCCACGTTTAGGGTTCAGACTATAGACAGGTGGTTAAAGGATTTAGAGGTCTCGGAGATGGGTCTAGGCTTGTGTCCGAACAACCCATCGCATAGAGGGCTCCTGTTGGCGAAAAGCAGGAGGGTTCATGCGGTTGAATGATTCATCGCTTCTTTAACCTCAGGGTTCCAATACATCACCCTCGGCCCTAGACCAGCTTAGGCTTCCATAGTACGGAGAAGGTCACGGCCGCCTTGCTGCCGCCGCCGCCGCCGAAAAAGCTGCTGAACATGGCTAGGTCGATGCAGGAATCCCCTAAAGCCTACACCCTGCAAGAGTGCAATGTGGGGGCCTCGGTGGTTCACCAGAGTAACTTATAGTACTAAAGCTGGACAGAAGATTGCCGTTGTAAAGGAAAGTAAACTCAGTGGCAGTCAAGAGTCAAGAAACTCAGTACCTAGTAGAAGTGATCGTCGGGTCTGAGAGGGCCTGGTGCGGAATGCTGTCTCACAGCTGCAGTGAAAGAACAGCGGAACGCCGGCGAAGACACTCCGAAAGCCCCGTAGTCAAGGGTTACTTATGAATAAGTACCTCGATTGCGCCATGCTGGTACTCTGCAAAAGTTTAACGCGAGAGTACCCACCTCTTCAGACTATTCTTGGGGGAACCGTTCGAGATTAAACATCTCTGAAGTCCGTGCCAGGGGCGCGGGGGTTCCCAAACTTCAAAACCATACACCTAAAAGCGCTACTGGTATCCTTCACGGGCCTTCTGCCTTCGGTCCTCTGAGCTTCAACAACGAGATCGCGACCGTCAAGGTACGTCGGCTGCGACATAGTCCAACCACATACCGAAAAGGGTCCTAATGGAAGAACCAGAACCAGTCACAAATCCTCAATTTACTCAAAAGCAGTCGTCTCCCCGTCGGACAAAAACAACCGGAAGCAGCAAATGTCAGTAGCGGAAAAGCCCTGTATCCCAACCCCCATCCACGTGCTTGATATAAGAAGCCGCAGGACTACAACGAAAGGAGCACAACAGCACAGCACGAACCGGGACAGACCTGGAGTAAAGCTCAATGAGTTCAGATTTCAAACACCACCAAAGAACCGGAACCACAATCTCCTGAAACCACAACTAAACCCTTCTGGCATCTCTTCCCGCACAGCCTCGGGGTCCGTTCGTCTGACTGTCGGCTGCTGCGGGTCTAAATCGACTCTTCCCGAAGATCGGTCCCAGGAAAACTTCAGAAACGCTTCCGAGAGCTAGTCTTCAGGAGGGAACTCAGGGGGGAAATGTGGATTTGGCATTTGGGGGTTGGAAGAATTTCGGTCTAGAGCTGTTAGATTTGGGTCTATGGGTTGTGCCAACAAGAGGCTTCAACTCGGTCCCATGGGGTCTGCATGTAGTGTTTGGGTTTAGAGCAGTTATGTGCCTAAAGGCGCATTTGGGTGACAATAAAGTTTGAGTTGAGTGGTTCACGAGTACCATTACATAATGGCTAGAAAAATATTGCGGAATGGCATGAAAACAGCAAGTATGACCAATTATGCACCCCAACGCTGCGTATATGTGCCCACCATCCCACGATGAACGAGACTCTTCGTTTTTGTTTGTTCAAGATGATTTGCTAGGTTCCCCGGTATCCCCTTCACACTAAGGGCATGCGTTTTGTCAGTACTGCATATTGAAAAAAGTAAGGGACCTCCAAAACTAAGAGTGCAGCTGAGGACCTTGTGACCTAGTTTGTTTAGGGCACAAGTCTAGGAACCGGCTCAGGGGATATTTAGGCCGAAGCCCCATAAACCCAAAATCAGGGATGAACGTCCAGGGTGCCTGCCGTTTCTTGGGCCGATCGTAAGGGCGGAGCTTTGTACATGCTGTGCCAAGCAGTGACAGTCGTGATTTGTTTGTCGAATTCTTCCATCCACCCAAAGCTTCCATGCCTCCTTGAACTATTTCCCCGAATCGTCAGAGCCTAAGAGGCCGTTTGGCTCTTGGGAGTTGGAGACTGGGGTTGAGTGAGCTTAGTGTCTTGGGTTGTGCCGGGAGGTTGTGCCGGGATCCGCACTGTGGGTCAACAGCTATGACCGATAACCAGCAATCTCAGAGTAGTTCCTCAACGGACACCAGATTCTCGGTACTGGCCTAGTATGGGTTCACATGTCCCTGCGAATGCAGCATGAAGTTCTTCCGAACGAGGGCACGAAGTAACCAAGACATCTTCCCGCGCCAGCAGATTGTTGCTCCTATAGGGGCCTATATCCAACTTTTCCACGGTCGCTTTTCGGTCATCCCAGTCATCCCTGCTTGGCTGTCGAACCACTAAAAGCAAGACTAAGCCACGAGACAACACAGTGCCAAAATTCAGGCACGCCGCTCTGGCAAACTTCGGGTTCGGGGCTCATGACATGGGTCTGGGAAACGCTTGAGACCCTCAGATGCATCCTAGGAAACGCGCATCGACACTACGTAAAGCTACGAACGACCAAGTCCGACTCCGACGAAGCTTCGCACTCCAGCGTTTCGGGTTCATTGATGGAGCCATGCACCTGCAAGCACATGTGGCAAACCATAAAATCCTCTGCGATACCTTCACAGAAGGTGAAGCCAAAGGCATCCTTGCACGGCAGGAACTTTCGTTTCTTCCTTCCCAGTAACTTGAGATCCGCCAGCGTCGCCTCGCCCAAGGCAAAGCGCTCCTCCGCACGCTCGGCAGCCTTCCGCTCCAAAGCCTCGACGTCAACGGAGGAGGCCATGACCTCTTCCTCTGCGCTCTGCTCCTCCGAGGCCGCGGAGGCCTTTTGCCGCTTCTTGGGGGGCCGCTTGGGCCGTACGACGGGCAGCGGCTCTTCCTCCAGCGACTCGCCTTCGTCCTCTTCGTAAATCGCGAAAGGGGCGGCGGAGGCCTTGGCCTTCGGCACCCCACGGAAGAAGGAGGAAGCCGAGGCAGCGGTGGGCCCTGAGGCCCCGGAGGCCTTGCTGGTGGCACTCTGCACCACCCCATTTTCCAGCGAAAAGCTGGCTTTTGGTATACGACCTACGGGAAGAATTTGCGCCTCCTCGTAAACAGCATAGGCCTCGTTTGCTCTCGGAACAGCTTGGGCCTTAGCCTTCGGAATACCCCGAAAAACAGATTGGGGCGCTTTGGCTCCATTCTTCGCCGCTTTGGCTTTCGGTATGCAGGGAATCGGCCGAGCCGGGACAGGAGGAAAGTCTTCTTCCTGGAGATGCGAAAGCACGGTCCGTTTTTGGTGATGTCATCTAAACCTTTCTGAAGAAGCAATTCGCCTAGCGTCATTCTATCTCACCGAACACCCGACAAAAAGTGCATATTACTCGCCAAGTCTGTGTTGATGCGGTTGCTATGCTTGACTTCCGAGCTCGGCATTGTGCTAATCAGTTGTTTGTGCATCGTACTTAATTTCGATGGATGTTGCTGATGCTGGTGACACTACACCGATTAATGCTGTTGCTCTCGTTGCTATTTGACTCATGCGTACGACTAGGCATGGTTCCCATGAGTGGGATTCTCGTCCTAAGATGTTCTCTGCATCTGTTGTGCAACGGAGAAAGTATCCGTGCTTAAGTAAAGATGGTGAAGACGATGATGAAGATGATGAAGAAGGAGGACGGGAGGACATTATAATGATGATCGCAACGGCCTTCATTGACATGAATTATACACTGTCACTACCAGGTTGGCCATGAAAGCTCTTCGACACTTCCTACTCAATGGCCCAGACAGTACAGTCGTGGCCTAAACCCTACACCCTACACGCTACCCCCGAAAACCCTACCCCCTAAATCCAAAAAACAGATACCCAAGCCAGCCATGACACTACCTGGGAGCTTCCGAAAATCGGGGTACCTTATTTTGGGGGCTCCTTATAATAGGGATCCTACTATTTAGGGTACTCTATTAGGGTCCCCTATTTTCGGAAACTCCCACCTTCAACTCCCCAGACATCAACAAGCCCTCAATGCCACCCCTGGGCCTCTGGAGTCCTGAAGCTCCAAGATGGACATCGACACCAGGAAATCCGAAAATCCGCAAATCTGAAATCCTAAACCCTCTCCTCCTCAGGCTTCATTAGGGGCCTTCATCATTCGAACAGGGTTTTGAGCAAAGTATGGCATGGTTGTTTACGGACTGTCAGAGAAAACGGGCAGAATACAGCAAACCCTTATCTAAGCTTCGCTAAATCCTGTCCTCCTCGATCTCAAACTCCGCCTCTTCGCAGAAGTCGTCGACAGGTTCAGTCCACCAGGGCTCAGCCGCGGTGATCCGAGATTTCTTCCTTCTATGTGTGTTGGGGTTTCGCAGTTTAGGCAAGTTTAGAGTTTAGGGTCTGCCGTGGAATAGCACGTAGGCGACCGTATCTTGTGACAAGGTCCTCTACGGCGACGAGCTGTCGAAGCCTGTAAGTGGAAGGCTTTTCCTTCTTTGCTTCCTTCTAGGGTTCAAAGCTTAAACTCATGCCATAAACCACCTTTGCCTTCTTCTGCGTGCATTTCTTTTCGCTTCAAGGCCTGGCGCAGGCGGGCCCGCAGAGCCCTCAGGAAACTCGGGTTTAGGGTAACGAGCGTGTTCCGGTTTCGGGTCCGACGTGGTGCCACGGTCCCTGTAGCTGTGGGGAGGCGGGCGTACTGGTCGGCCTTTCGCCATCGACTGCGAGGGGCATAAGCGTGCGCCCACCCGAAGTACGTGTGCCGCCTGTGCCTTGATCTTGGGGTTTAGGGGATTCCAGCCTTCTTCCCTCGGTGTTGGTAGGGGTTCCTTGGCGGTTCATGGGTAGTTTCAAGGTGGGTTGGAAGTATGGCAGCGATAGGCATAAGTCATACTGAGGGACTGAGGCGGGACTTCGGTTGTACTCATCTGTAGTGGCCAGAGTTTAGGATTTGGCAGGTTTTGACACAAATCTAGGGCCTAGGGTTCAAGTCTTAAGGCAGAGGGGTCGTGGGACGGAGGTCGAGAATTTGAAGCATTAAGCCCTAGGACAACGAAAAGACCTAACGATCTTAGTCGTTTGCAGCAGGAAAATAACCGCAAACCGAGATCGCTTTGAAGAAACAGTGAGGAACACCCGCTGGCCTGTGTCGTTTGGCACGAAAGTTTATGCCTAGCACCGAGCGGACTTTCATAATTGGAGGAGTCTGTGGTAGATTGATAGAAAACCAGAGGCCCAGAGGGTCTACAAGGTGTTACTTTTGCTGATTATTCAGCCCAAAATAGGTTGCACGTAAAGCACAGTAAGAACCGAAAGATCCCGATCTGCGCCGGGTATCGGCGGGGGATACTGTGGTTGACGGGGCTGCTTTGCCGCGGCAGGGATGCAAAGGTGAGTCCCATTCCTCGGTGGTGACTTGCTGCGTTTAACGGGTTTTGTGACTGGGATAACAGTAGAGGAGAGTACAATACAGTTAGTACAGAATGATATAATATGCTGTTGGGCAAGACGACACAGCACGCTTGCCAAATAGAAAGCGACTCTGACAAATATTCAAAAGTAACGACAGAAAGAACAGCGGTGGTAAGGACGAAAGCGGAACACCACTGTCCATCATAATGGCAAGCTGCACTATGCATGTAACAGCAATCGTCGTAATGATTCTCACAATACTTCACAAGCATGAGCGCGAAATTCCGACTTATTGACCCTCCCCCCGACACAAGAACTCATCATCTGGATTAGATGAGGGATCCTGCGATGAAAACACTTGAAGAAATACTCTGTCAAAGGACGAACGAAACAGGGATAGGGCTTGGAGGGGTTAAACGCAAGGATGTAATTTGAAGCAAGGATTGTACTATAAGCCCTTCAAGATGCACCTTAAAATGCTCAAGCTAAGAATGCTTCAAAAGGCTTAGACCTTGCCCTTTGAGGAATTCGAGAATCCAGAGACTCCAATGGCCCTTATACAAACTTCTATACTTCTGTCTGTGATATCACTGACAATTATTGTAAGAATTGTGCAGTGTAATTCAAAACCCTACCCTCAAGTCCGATCCTAGGAGTTTCCTTGATGTGTCTTTAGAGGCACTCACACGCGACCAAGCATGTGACATCACTCTAAAGGCCTTAGAAGTTCGTGAGGCTTTGGGGCTGTATTCGCCTCGGCCCCGGCCGAAGCGGCCAGGTGTTCTCACGGAAACTCCCTGTGTCCCCACCTTAAAATCCCCTCCCCAGTCACCCACACACCCTTACAGCCGGCAGGACGGACCCCCAACCTTCAAACGAGAACCCTTCTGCTGCGCATTCGGTAAAAGACTCTGTGCGGCCACCAGTGTGAAGTCTCACAAAGTTGTTTTTATTGCTACTCCTACTATCATCAATACTATTATGCCTATTATTAGCATCATTATTATTAGTAGTGGCGGTAGTAGTAGGAATAATATTTGCCTAATTAGCAGGTCCTGTCTACGGAAGGTGACGAAATCGTAGATCCTGCCACAAGGAGGAACCTCCACCACCTGCCCAACTATGATTCTCACTACTATCAATGTACTATTATTATTAGTACTATTGCTGTTGTTACTATCATAATGATTATTCTTATCAATATTCTCATTATTATCATTGCTATTGCTGTTATCCGCCGACCATGGGCCGGCGTGTGGGATTCTGATCGAAGGCGAAAGGGTAAAGGGGAGGAACCTTGGGGGGGCGCCTGTTTCGTTGTTGGATGACTGGTCAACAGCAAGAGTATACTATATACTATTCTGCCCCTATTGTATCACATCAGTACAGAGAAGTATCCGGGTACACATAATGCCTCCTGCGCATTCCTGCAAAGACCTTTGCAGGCACAACGCAGCTATCTGCAGTGCCAACAGCCAGGCTCACTGAGATCGACTAAAAAGGACAGCAAATGTCTGCAGAAGATGGCACGGCTGACGTTTGCACCGCACCCGGATGCTGCAGATTGCGCTACCGGCACAGCGGCGGAGACACACGAGGAGGACTTCATGCCGCCGTCGAATAGTTCTTGAAACTCACGTGGCGCTGACGACCCACATCATCACGTTGATGTTCCGAAGATGACCGCTGCGCACTGGAGAAGGCTCGCGGGCGAATCTGCTCCAAGGTCCGGTAGCGCGAGATGACTACACCATGACATGATATGACATGTATTCCTGGCTTGCAACAGAAGTGGTGCCAGCTGCCGGACATACACTCCGGACACAGCAGCGAGACCACATTCTCCAGGAGGAGACGAGACTCTAAAAGGTAGAGCGCGCGAGGGTTGCTGGGCGACGAAGCTATAAACGGAAGTGAAAGACGTCCGGTGATTGAAATTGGCAAGGAAGCAAAGACTGGTACAGCAATAGAAGCGACACCGAATCCGGATTGTGGGTGCGGGGGTGCAGTTTCGGAAGTATGTCTGCTTCTTAGTTCTCAGCAAATTTATATAATTCAAGTGAATTGACACTTACACTGTCCGGCAGTGTAGAACATACCCCCCTTCTTCAACTACAGCCGGGCCGAGGCAGACGACGCGAAGCGTTCAAACTATACCATGGTTATAAAGGGATAGGGGCTATAAGCGAATACCAGTGGTCATTGGGTCATTGTGCAGACAACTGTAATGCTCGTAAAGCCTTCGGCCCATCCAGTGCTTCCAAGAGTCGTCGGCGGCCATAGTGGGGGACGGACTACTTGTGCACCTCAACAACCAGGTCTTGAGATTGGAGGATTTTGTGGACAAGGCGCCTACTTTCAGGTGTGCCTGTTTGCGCTGACAATCTTGTCGGAAGTGTTGACATTCTGTCTTTCACAATGGGGTTTTGTGGTCGCTTGGCTGTCCCTCGGCTGTTGTCCGTGGGCAGACAACCTTGTAGATGGTTGTATGTGTGTGTGTGTATATATATATATATATATATATTGAGTGAGACGTCGATGAACAGACGCGCAACTTTTCTTACCAACTACATGTATGTTGACGAGCAGAATCAGGGCTTATTGTCCATGGAAACCGTGTAGGTCTCACAGCCTGCCAACAAGAAAAGGAACAGAAATCCAGACAGCGAAAGCTTCGAAGTTCAGTTCAATGACTTGAAAATGCCCTGCTCTTGGTAATCTTCGGACCTTCTTTGGGTTTCATGATCCCTACGAACATGTCGGCTCTGCGAGGTCTCAGCTACTAGAACCTGCTTTGTACACCGGCCACGGGTTCGCCCTAAATCCGACACTGCGGGCTGCGGGCCACAAATGAAGGCAAATCCTGCACCACTTCATCCTTGACTTAACTGCGGCTCATTATACGGTCTACGTGAAACATATGACTCCTCGGCAGCAGCCGTTCCGTGGTAATCCCAACGTCAAGAGAGCACAACATCCCACTAGCGATGGGCACGCTTGAATCGGGAACCATGAATGCAGGTTACAGCCATCATAGCCCCCAGACCTGTAGGGCAGAAGCCTTAACTCAAAGGACCTAGAGCTGCAAACCCCAAACCCCAACCCCATCTCCATGATTCTAGAGTTACATTTCAGAACTTCTAGGGTCAGAGACTGCATCAGGCCTCGCTTTGGGGCCGCGTTGGCAGGCGCCCGCGGCAGGAAGGCAGCCGCTGGCACCTGAGAGCTGCGGGGCAAGGGGCTCCTCGTGCATGGCCCTGAAGGTTTTAGGGTTTAGGGTTTGGGGTTGATCAGAGAGCTGGGGTTTAGAGCGTAGCCTAGAGTCCTGGTTGAAGTGTTTTGGAGAGTAGGTGACACTTGAGTCATGTGGATTCGGGTTTTGTAGGCTGCACAAGGCTGTACACCCACAATCCTCAAAGGATTATTAGGTTACCTGAGGAAGATTCCCAAGACCGATCATTGAATCACACAGCCGGCAAAACGCTTGAAAAGCATTTGCATGTACAGCTACTGCTACGATTGCTGTGATGCTTGCTACTGAGTGCCGTTGGTGACACTGCTACAACTATTCGCAACATCAGTGTTCACAGCGAGTTTTGTGTGTTGATGCACTTCGCAATCGACCCCAGGGAATAAACCCCGAAACTCCTAAACTCCAAAACACCAACCTAAAGCCCTGCAGGTACTTAAAGGATGAGGGGACTTAGTAAGTAGGTTATAATTGGGGTTATAAGTCCCCTAACTGGGGTTATCCTAATTATAACCTACCTATAACCTTACTTAGCCTTACTTACTAAGTCCCCTAAGCCTCCAAGTATCCCTCCCGAAACCCCCAAGGGGGTGCCTGCTCGCAGTCCTCATCGTGCTCCGGAGGGCCTCCGGAACTGAGAGCTGCGTAGCAGCCTCCAGCAGGTTCATGGTTCCAAGGGTACAAGGAGGGACCCTTAATATAATGGGTATATAATGGCTATATAATGGCTATATTATGGGTATATAATGGCTATATAATGGGTATATAATGGCTATATTATGGGTATATAATGGCTATATTATGGGTATATAATGGCGATATTATGGGTATAGACCTAGGGGTCCTTATTAGGGGTCCCTCCTTTGACCCTTTGAATGGTACAAACGACCATCCCTCTAAACGGGGGCCACTAGCATCAGGGGGTTAAGGTTCAGAAGGGCTTTGGGGCCTATCGTTGCAATTCAGAGTTTCGGAACAATACCCCCTTTGCAATTCTTTACAACAAGGCGGACTCTACTAGTCTACTTAAGGTCCTGGCGAAGGGGCCTCTTGCAGATCAACCCCGTCTTTTCGGAGACTAAACTGGGTTCGGGCAGGTCTGGCTTGGGGACGCAGGCAAGTCGCCTGCCAACTTTGCTAGACAGGGCAGGAGGCCTAAACTCTACTAAACCCCAAATCGAGGTTACATGGCACAGTGTTTCAACCGACGCTCACGTACCTACCTACCTCCCTGCATGCATGCATGCAGACAGACCGCCAGGCAGACAAAGAGAAACATACACAACACACATTGGAAACTTGAGAGACCCCTACTGCCAGGGGCGTACGACCCTTGTGAAACCAAATCGCACGAAACAACATGCCAAGGAACTCCTTGCAGGCCCTTTCCAAACGCAAGAACTATCCGTGCCTCGGCAGCAGAAGCCCCCAAGCGCCGGGTCCGAAGAGACGCGGAAGCCGCAGTCTTGGTTGGCGCAGGCAAAGATCCTGGGAAGTTCTCTTTGGGAGGCCTAGAGGGGGCTCAGGGTTATAGGGAAAAAAGGGCTTAGGTAATTGAGGGTTTAAGGAAGCTGGTCTCTGCGTAAGGGGTCAAGGGTAAAGGCTGTAGTGAGGGTGTCAGGATTTAGGCTTCGATCACTCTCCGGATGGATTGAACGTTAAGGGTTCAGAACTGGGGCTGTAGGAATTTTCGGCGTTCTAGGGCCCAGTAAAGGGGACTCAATGGTTGGATCTGGGCTATATCAGAGCATCCTTCCTAGATTGGGGGATTTAGCTACTGACTTCGGGGATGTTCTCGTCGAGGCTGTACAGGGTTGATTAAAACCGGCCACAAGGTCCTCAAGAGAGTCCACACAGGTAGGGTTTAGGGTTTAGGGTTTAGGGGTAGCTCTCTCTGTAGATTCGATCATTCGTTCTAGTCTCAACGATTCGGAAGCGGAGCTGGAAGTGAAGAGGAGCAATGCCAGACTTCCGACAAAGTGTTCGTACGCAGCAAGGCAAATAATGAGAGTAGCAGAGTAGCAATCCTAATGATCACGCAAAAGCAGTGACCTCTCATTGCTATCACCTTGGAATCACAATGCGGGAGCCGACTCTAACACTCCGAACCAACAGCCAGGTCAACGGCTGCCAAGTCTCTTCCGCTTGTCCACAGTCTGCATGTCACTACAGGTCCATCGCTGCTTTAACACTGAGGGGACTGCGATTGCGCATATTGCCGCAACGCTTGGGAACAGTGCGTCATGCTGGTGCTGCTTATTTGGTTGTTGTCTGCTGTGAAGAAGATCAAGGAGAACGTGAAACGATCCAGGTTGGGCTCTTGCCGGCAATTTGACTGCATCTCTTGCAAGCAACGCCCCTAGCTTCACGAGCTACCTTGGCGGACTCAATAGCTATATAGATTAGGGCTTTGGAGGGACTTTGCAAAACAGACATGTTCGAGAACCCGACGGGATTGTATTCTTGCTTATTCAAGCACGTTTTGGGTGTGTATGTGTAGAGTCAGAAGATCGGGGTCCATGGTTTTTCGACTGTTGCCTGCGCCTGCAGAGCCGATGACTTGTCCTACGAGGCCCTACGACCCTGCAGGGTTTTGGGGTTCGCCGCTTCTGAGCCAGCAAGCAGCGCAGCGTTCACCACAACAAATTGGTACTGGTGCCCCCCTCTAGTACAGTATCTATATACATATATATGAATATATATCTCATTTACTTGAATACACGCCCACAGGCCACAATACAAATTGCGAAGGCGGGGAGAGAGAAAGAGAAGCCCATTCTCGGAGCCCGTTCGCGGACTGCTCGCTACCATCATTGCACGAACTGTAAGACTTCTTATCCTAGTTTAAGGCATCTTCCGCAACTGCAGGGCATTGGGCTCTCTGGGAACACACCCACACGCACAGACACAGGCACACTTGAAGCAGCCCTTTTGGCTGGCAAACCATAACCTCTCGCTTCTGCGGCCTGCCTTTGACAGGCCCGCTTCGCAACTAGAAGAAGGGATAGCGGCTGATGAGGTAGGGTCTATCGGGTTAAGCTGCAGAGTTTTTGTTCCCCCGTTCCAACGCTATGTATATACTAGCGAGCTTCCGAGTGATTCAACCGTGACATCAGCTCACGAAATCCCATCCGGGCCCTCCGATGAGTGCGGGTGAGACACGATGTTGAACGGAAATGTCTGGTCCGGCCAAGCGACTTGCGAAAGAAGTCTTGCCATCGCCTATGTTGCAGAAACCATAGCCCTGCCCAGACCCCTAAAGCCCTAAGTCGTTGGACCGCTACTCCACCCGCCTAGCCTTACACTGTTTAAGATAGCGCCTTCTCGCAGAGCTCCACCCGTTGAATCGTTCAAAGGGCCTGGGCAAAGGATCCTAACGACGCGCTGGGTGCAACAACGATTCTAGCCAGCCCGAAAGATTCAGCACCGACGGACGTCTTACATCGTCCTGCGGCACTTCGCCGGATCACTGAAAACTGGCAGCAAGTTGCAAACTGATGCCCAGAAAGTCCTCACGAGAGAAGTAGGTGCAAGAACACGAACTAGAACAGTGCCAATCACAATGTCCGCACTTGTACGACCACTAAGTATCAGGACAACAGTCAGACACAAAATCAAGAAGAATTACTTCACAACAAGAACTGTTGAAGGGAGCTGACGGGCATTTTACCCGACAGCCGCTTGGTGCATGACGTACTAGGGAACGCCCCGTCCTCGAGTGCTTGAGGGCTTAGGGTCGTTTGTTGAGGGTCTGAGGTCCATCGCTTTCGGGAGGGTGGGGGCTGATTGCGGTGAGAGCGGGTCGTCCAGCTCCGAGCATAAAACAAAGTGGGCCAAGATTGGGGCTCGTTAGGGCCCGATGAAGCGACAACGCCAAGGATGGGCTCACGTCATCTTTTCCACCTCAGCTCAAGTTTTGTGGGTGTCAGTCGCTCCCTTTGAACCCCCAATCATGTTTACTGTGTGCTCGGAGGCTATCGGATTCCCCAAACCCGAATCACCCGAACGTCGAAGCCCGCCAACAACTCAATGCAACGAAGATCTGATCCGTTCAGCACTGGCATCCTGACAAGGACACCCGAAACACAAACTTGACAACATTCTTAACGAGCGGAACATAAACTCGCCAACACCCTTTGATCAACCACGCCTGACTTCGTATATGGCAACCCTTCGGCTCAGGTATGCCCTACAATGCTATGGGGCCTCGAGGGCTTTGAGGCAGATGCTGCTAGTTCTGGAGGAATATGGATGGATCTTTGATGGAACTGTTGCGCGAGAGAAGCATGGAGGTGGCTATGAGACCTGCAATGGAGCAGAAGCTGGTAAGAACCAAGTTCGCCAGGTCTTTCTGATGTCTGCAGCCGACAGAAACCCAAACAACAGCAACCCACAAGTCATGCTCAGTGAAGCGTAAGTCTAAACCGAAATGAAGATTCAGTCCGTAAACCCTAAATAAACCAAACCCCCGACACTAAGATCGCAAACCCTAGACCTCAGAGCACAATGCAAACCAACGGTTTAGGGTGTTTTGGCCAGTAACAATAATATTAATAGTAATACTAATAGTAATAATAGTAATTTTCGGAAACTCTAAGCCCCAAACCCTTTATAGAACCCTTTATTGATCCCTTTAAAGGAACCCTTATGGATCCCTTTAAAGCTACCCCCAATTTTCGGAAACTCCCATATCCAGCATGCCTTGGAGTCTCAAAAAAACACTTTCCAGAAGACCTATCTACCCTGAAAGCCCTGGACCCTAAACCCTAACTTAAATCCGAAACCCTAAACCCTAAACCCCTAAACCCTAGGGCCCCGAGCGAGGGCAAGTCGGAAAGTTGCGACGCCACTTCCCTGGGCTTTAGGGTCTCTGATTTGGATATTTTGGGGCTTTAGGGCTTAAGGTTTAGGGTTTCAGGTTTAAGGTTTATTGGATATTTTGGGGCTTTAGGGTTTAAGGGTTTCTTTTTCATGCAGTGGCTCTTTCTCCGCTTGCAACATGGAGGTTTAGGGTTTAAGGTTTAGAGTTTATTGGATATTTTGGGGGCTTTGGTTCAGCGCTTGGTACCTAGGGTTGCTGGATGCTGCAGTTGAGCCGCTGCCTTCTTGCACCAATTGACGGAGTTGGGATGTCGGATTAAGGCCAATACAGATGTGAAGAAGGGGTTGATATGGGGAAGATGCCATTTCTGAATAAGAAACCTATCGCTCGAAGGTGCAGTGGGGCAATATAAATATGTGCCGAAGTTCTATGCAAACAATGGGGTCTTGCAGGCACTGTCTCCAAGACTGTGCCAACCTAGCCAAAATACCTATCTCAGGGACAGTCATATTCGAGATCGTCGTAGTACTTCGCTTGGTCTTGGCCTTAAACCCTAAACGCCAACGCCCCGAAGCCGCAACACCCTCAACCCTAAACCCGAAGCACCTAAAATCCCAAATGGTCCAGGGAAAAAGATAGACCTGTCGATCATTGTTAGTCACGGGATTACTGTCGGCTTGTTTTTGTTATTCTTGCTACTCTTGCGGCTACTGCTATTGTTGCTTCTACGGTTAATGTCAGGTTTGTTGCCTTTTCTTGCGATTCTTACTACCACTCTTACTACCATTGATACTTATCTACGGGTCATTCCGATCATCAGTCCTAAAGTAAAAGCCAGAAAGTTGGAATATGGTTATCCTAAACCCTTTGTGGTAAATTATAAGGTATCCTACCCTGAAACCATATTCCAACCTTTCTGGAGTTCCCTTTACTGAGCTGAGGCTTTCGGACGCCAGCTCGGCAGTTGGGGATCTAAGAAACGGCACAGGGGCGGTTTAGAGTTTAGGGTTTAGGGTTAGATTCAGTGATTTAGTGTTGGGATTTTAAGAACGGCACAGGAGTTAGATTTATGATGGGAGGCCAAAAGGGGGGTTTAAGATTCTTGGGCTAGGGATTCCTTTTTATGAACCCTATTATGGGAACCCCAGGAGTTAGATTCAGTGATTTAGTGCAAACCCGGAATGCTCCGAAACTTGCATCTCTTTCCGTGCGCTCAGTCGTGGTTGAGGGGTGGCGTACTCGTGCAGCTCTGAGCCAACCTACTTTTCCAGGCTCCTACAGAAACTGAAAGTTGAGCTGTTGGGACCTGAGTTCGAAGGGCCCTACACATACATGTAAATACCTTGAATTGCTCCCACTCCCTGCTCTTCAATCCAGCCAGGCCTATGGGTGACACGTGGTTTTCGGTTAGGTAGAGGCTTCTGTTCGACAGTGGCTTCTGTTGTGTGTTCGACAAGGGCCTTGGCAAGAGGTTGCCGGCATCCCGATGGGAGATCTATGATCTCAACTGCCGTAAACCCTAACCCCTCAACTCTAGACCCCATAGCACATATCTGCGACTCAGATAGCAACCCCTTCCCGGACCCGTTATTCACGGAACCCCAAAAACGGACGAGTCGGGTCGCTTCCAGTCTTCTCTCGCGAAGCCAGGGGCGGACCTGAGAGGCCGCTGGGTGCGGGGAAGTGAAGGGTACGGTAGTGGTAGTAGTGGTAGTGGTAGTAGTAGTAGTAGTAGTAGTAGTAGTAGTAGTAGTAGTAGTAGTAGTAGTAGTAGTGGTCGAAGTGGTAATAGTCGTCGTAGTAGTAGTGGTAGTAGTCCCAGTAGCAGTAGGGGCTAAGGCGGCTACGGTTGTTTGGGCTTTAGGGTTGGGGGTTAAGGATTCACGGTTTGGGGGTTTAGGTTTTTCTTGCCCGTCTTCCGTAAAGCCTCAGGTTTAGGGTGTCATCATTGACCGATGCCGTTTCTGACAGAGTTGGCTGGTGATATCCCTTGCTGCACATATATTGACCTGGTGGGCCCTGAGCCACTGCCAGGCAGGAGCCCCCTGGAAACAAGTGATAGCTAGAGCTCCAGAAGCATGGTTTAGAGTTTGGTACCTTTCTGGGCCGAACAGAAATCAAGCTGCTCTTTCAGGCCCTTCGAAACAGCTGCAACTGCTTCCTCTTCTGAACATACAAGAATACAAACTACTACTACTACTACTACTACTACTACTACTACTACTACTACTACTACTGCTGCTACTACTACTGCTACTACTGCTCCTACCACGACTCCTACTACTACTACTACTACTAATAATAATAATAATTACTACTACTACTACTACTACTACTACTACTACTACTACTACTACTACTACGACGAGGCGCGGATCAGCAGCAATGCTACATGAATACAGCACCAACTAGCGACAAACCCTGCAATGCAAATGCTGGATATCCTAAGCATGATAATAGCAAATCAAACCATAGCAATGACAATGATGTCGCGATGATTACACAAACAACCCTAACGAAGTAAGCTCCGAACGCAATCCCGAAATAAAGCACCTTGCAGGCGATGGTATTCTGAGCCCGCTGCTGCAAATACAGACCTGTCGGCTTCAGCTTCTGTACTGACGGGTCCATGTAGTGCTGCACCACTTGCTGCTCCCTGGCACGGTCTTCGCATGCTTCTGTGGGGTCACTACGGCATCCGTGGTCTTCATAGCAGTAACGGTTTCAGCAGTGGTGGAGGTAGTAGCCGCCCTCATGGCAGTAGCAGTAGCAGCAGGAGTAGAAGAAGTGGTAGTAGCATTATGTGTGGTAGTCACAGTAATGATTAGTAATAATAAAAACAAAAGTAATAATGGTATGAGTATTCGGAGAAACATTATTATTATTACTAGCCGTAGTAGCAGTATAGTAGTGGTAGGAGTAGTAGTAGTAGTAGTTGTTGTTGTTGTTGCTCTTGTTGTACTCGCAGTAGTGGTTGTGGTAGCAGCAGCTGTAGCGATGCGGTCATCACGCTTGTTCCAGCGTTACCAGTACTGGCTACCGATTTGCTGGTAGCCAGTCATACCCGGGGTCAACACCTCGATCACAGCTTCTTTTGCCGATTGAGATATGTCGCTAATGCGCTGACCTGAACAGTGCTGCCTCATCACTCATCTGAAGGCTACGATAGCAGCTATCGTCAAAGGAGAAGCCACCAACAGAAAGAGAGCTAAATGCTAGAAACCCTGCAAATGGCCGCTATGCGCGCAAAGAACAACAGACAACTACCTACGTCCGCCGTAGGCCTCAGAAACCCCAAACCCTCAGTCAAACCCTGAACCCCGAATCCTAGCCCAAAACCCCCAGCCCTCAAGCCCAGAATTGCCGTGGCCAACTCGTGGCCCTGGGCCTCATTCTCATCACCCTAAACCCTAAACCCCTCATCCCAAGCCCAAAACCCCCTTGGCCTCATTCTCATCACCTTTCTCCGCGCCTGTCTCCTTCGGACATACGCCTGCTCTGCAAAGCGGCAGGGCTTAGGAATTGCGGGGTTTTCGGTCTTGGGCTCTAGGCTAGGGCCTTTTTTTATAGGGGCCGTAATAATTGTTAGAATAGGTTTCGGGGGTGTATTATTCTATGAGAAAAAACGGAAGCCCCAAAATAGTATAGGTAATTACTAAGGCCCATATATTCGGCAAGCTTATGAACATGAAGATGTGGTGGATTGTCTCTTGGGCTCTGAAGGTTTGGGGACAGGATGTCTTCATCAGGTCGAGGAAGACACAAGTTGCTAGGTGACCATCAAGAAAAAGCTTCTTTGCGTTGTTCCCTACCATAGTACTGTTACGGCTACTGCCACCACTACTCCTGCTCCTTACGCTGCCGGCATGGCAGTACTTCCACTCGTCCCGGCACTTACAATACAATACCTAGTATTCATGAACTGAGAGCAGCATTGGCTCTGAATTTCACCAAGTCTCACAAGAACAATTCGAGAGTCTCGGCCTACCAGAAGCCCGAAGAAAAACCATTGGGTATAAAGCTTGTATCCGGGGGATTCCGAAACTACTCACATGGGAGATCCTCATAATCATGTTGTACGGAGCGACGCGCCTGAAGTCTGATAATGACCTGGGCGGGAGATTCGCGGTGCGAGACTACAGGGGTTGGTTCGAGTTCAACCCCAAACCCCAAACCCGTCCAGGGTCCTTGAAGGGTTTGGGTGACACATGAGCCGAAGCACGGCGCCCAGATATGATTTTGGGATAAACCCTAAATCCTAAGCCCGATTCTCGAACCCTCAGTCGTATTCTAATCCCTAAACCCTAACTAAGCATTGTACACCCTAAACCCCACCCGCAAACTGACCCCAAAACCCTGAACCAGCAAGGAGATGGGTTGAAGGCTGAGGGAGAGCCGACTTTCAGCACGAACCCCAACGAAATACATGTACATTGCGGATATGCCCAGAGTTTGTATGTGTCGTGTGTGTGTGTGTGTGTGTTTGTGTGTTTAGACAGCAATTTTTCCAAAGTCTGGAATGCTGATCACTGCGAAAATTCCAAACTTTCCCCAGTATCTACCTCTCCAATGTTCATGCTTCCTGTATCCCAATCTTTCCGGGAAATGTTGAAACAAGAGAGCGAGGGCTCGACTTCTCAGAATGATCAGGAGGACACGCGAAGTTCACTCTCGAGTGTGGGACGTGGGATCCAGGATCTCGGGTTTCTAGGATAAGCCCTAAACCCTAAACTAAGCCCTAAACCCTAAACCCTAAATAACTCCAGACCCTGAAGGGCTGAAGGGTTTAACGTTTCAGGCAGCTCAGGATCCCTGCATGAGCCTTCTGGTTGCTGGGCTCTTTTTCAGGAACTTACGTCCAAGTATGGTAAATTACGAGAGCAGGACTATGGAACTATGTGGCTTAAACTCGAGGTCCTTTAGAATCCACTGCATCGGAGCGGCGTGTAGCACTCGGTCGACCTTCTTGCCCTCCAGATGCTGCAGGAGCTCTGCCTGCCACTCTCTTCATTACGAGGATTCTTGAAGTGGGGGATCCCTTTCTAGGTGCAACTATAGCATAGTAGGTGGTAGCAGTAGTAGTAGTAGTAGTAGTAGTAGTAGTAGTGGTGGTAGTAGTAGTAGTAGCAGCAGTAGTAGTAGTAGTAGTAGTAGTAGTAGCAGTAGCAGTAGTCGTCGTCGTCGTGGTAGTAGTTGTAGTAGCTATAGCAGCTTCTAGGCGCAGCTGTAACACGGACCTACTCTCGGGAGTGACGCGGCTACTTCGTCGGGACAACAGGTTGTTCATGATCTTCAAGAGCCTCATGAGTTGTCAGGGTTTTTGGATTAGGTGCCGGGTTTGGGTTGTACGGCGAACAACCAAACACACCAATCCGGACATGGTGGGCAGGAACCTTAAACCCTGACTCTAGACCACAAGTGCTACAAAGTTACATACTCTGATGCCCTGAATCTAGCTCTGCGAAAGAAGAAAGGCCACTCAAAACGACAACGCAAATCAACCCAGTTCGGGTGCAATGGAAGGGCCTTCATGTTTGGAATATGTAGGGTTTTGGGATATCTTATGGTATGTTTACATGGCGACTGTAAGGGATGCAATTACAAACTTTCCGGCCATTATACAGCAGCGCTGCACAGGCCCGAGTTTGTCTCTAGGCTTGACCCCCAAACTCCATACCAGAAGCTGTAGTTTCAGAAAATCAGGAACCTCACGTAGACCCTGAAGACTCACAACAGGATCCGATTCCAAAGCTTCCATGAAAAACCGACCCATCAGGCTCAGTTTCTGAAACCTGCCAAAACTCTAAATGAGTCCCGCCTGAAGAGCTTTTCGATAGACCTCCGGGTCCATGGAGCCATTGACTAAACGGCTTGTCACCTTCGGCGCCTGCGGGTCCGGGTCTCTCTTTGCGAAGGAGGGATCTCTAGGCTGACCTCTCTTGCTGTCTCGTTCTCTGTCTGTCTCTCTCTCTCTCTCTCTCTCTCTCTCTCTCTCTCTCTCTCTCTCTCTCTCTCTTTGCGAAGCAAGTACATCTACCACGCATCTAGTTTATACATACTTCTATAGACACAGCCTATAAGTGTAACTATGTATGCGTGTATATATGCAATATGCAAACACGTATGTGTGTGTGATATATATATATATATATATATATACATATACATGATATACATATATATATATAATATGTACACATTATCCCTGTAAGGGGCAGTTGGCTTCAGGAAAACATCCAAATGCACGCAAGTCCACAGCACCGGGTTGCCCTCCTGCACCCAAACCAGGGTACCGGGTTCAGGGAACCCTTGAAACCTCACATCCCAAACTTACCTTTGGTCAGTAGGGAACGGAAGAATGGTAGTGATAGTAGTTAGTAGTTATAACTGTACCCCATTCCTCCATTCCCTACTAACCAAAGGTAAGCAAAACCCCAGCCCAACCATAGACATGCTACAGGGGTTGCAGCTTGACGAGGTCTGGCATGGCTTACGAGCAAGCGCAGCTGACAGCATATGGGTTGTCAAGATGAGGATCCCTTTTTGGGTCCTGAATATAATACGGCACCTAATACTTAGGGTACCCAAAAAAGAACCATAATTTTGACAACTACCCATATAGGTCATTGCTGTCGGATAAGGGAGTTTCCGAAAATAGGGGACCGTAGTATAGTGCCCTAAATAGTAGGATGCTTGTTATAAGGACCCCAAAATACGGTACCGCTATTTTCGGAAACTCCCAAATAATGTACACGCAGTTATGACCAGATTCGGCCTCAGGCTTGAAACCCAGGAATGCTGAGCGCGAAACCCCGAAGAAGTGCCGCACTTCAAAGACTGCGGATGCGACGAGTAAGCCGTATCAACTGTATGATCACAACAACAAATCATTCGCAACAAGATTAACGACCTTTGCAAGAGCAGCATCGAGAATCACCAAAAAACACTGATGAATGACATGTTTGTATGATAGACGGCACCTTGGGAGGATCGAAAGGCTCATCCTCCCGTGCATCAGACGCTTCGTTTGGGGTGGTGGCTCGAGCGTCAGAGGCATCAGGGCTTTGGGGGGGATGGGTGTAGGGCTCTTTCGGGGGCTTCAGGGTGGTTCAGAGGTTTGAGCGTGTCCGGCAGAGGTCAGGTAAAGGGCGAGTTCGGGCTTGCGGGGTCTGGGGGTGATGCTCGTCGGGTGTTTAGAGCCCTTTTTGCATCCAGGCCTCTTGAAGTCTTGTGTTTAGAGCCCTAAACCCTATAACCTTACAACTGAACATCCTAAACCCTAGCCTCAAAACCGCGAACCGCTCACGGCGGCAGTGTTTTGGGACCCTGAAGCCGTCGGCCCCGGCATCCCCAAGTCGCTACGTACATGGGCTAAGTCTTATCGGATCTTGTGGGGGGGGGGGGGGGTTAACGTACTTGTTTGGTATCATGGGGAACTACAGGTTAGCTAACCTTTTTGGGTTATATAGGGATTATATGGGGACTATACTACCCCAAAAAGGTCAAAGGTTACCTACTCGATAACTGTACTAATTAGGTTAAACTATATCCGAACGTGCAAGCCGCGCACTGCAAGCAGCCAAGTCTGCAACAAAGTAAGGACCCTGTTTGTGGAAGTACCTATAGCTGACACAGTAGCATCTACCACTGCTCCGCCTGCATCACCCCTTTACACTTATCGCTTGAGACATATACATGCCGAGACTTTCCAGCATTTCCTGCGACCCTACACCGGTCTCTGCTTAAATGTTTCTGGCAGGACATGTTTAGTATAGGATTTAGAGTCTTGAACATCAGTTTGGGGTTGCTAGGGTTGGACGATTTTTGTAGGCTAGGCTTATGGGCTGTGAAAAGTTAGAGCTGAGCGATGTGTCGGCGTTGGGCTTTCAGATAACGATGGGGCTAGAATCCCATTATCTTTCGCTTGTCTCAGCACATGGAGGTGACCGAAAAACCCGGGAGCCCTACGAGGGCATCGGGCATCTAAACCCTAAACGGCCCTAAACCCTAGACCGAAACCACCAATTCTCAAACCACAGCTCCGAAACCCCAGGGACGAAGTTCCCAAGCCCATGAATGTCCTTGCAGGTGATACTGGCGACAGTTTGCAAGTTTGGGCGCGGACTTGCAAACAGATCAGAGCCTGAAAGACGCTTTGGTCGTGGACTTTGCAGGGTACTTAGTCAGACGGGTCGCTACCACGATAACTGTGGCTCTAATTACTTCCATCCTCGACTGAAGTACGTATCACTAGAAGCTACGACACACGAACCTTCAAGCAGGGTTAAGTTTAGCGTTTCGGGCTTAGGGTTAGGGTTTATTTGCATTTCAGGATGAGCTCAGATGTCAACATGCAGCAGCAAAGACAAGCTGCGGGGACCCTGACTCGTCTCCTCAAAGGCTGCATGACTCTGCGCACGGAGGGCCTAGTCTTTCCTGCAATTGTCTTTGTCACTCTCTGGGGATGCCATGGGAGAGCTTGGGTTTCTCTTGCAACACAAAGCCGGCAATGTCTACACGGCCGCGGGCATTCGGCCATTCGTGGTTTGGGCATCTTGGCATTTTTTCTATCTCGTCTTCACTGAGAGACTGTCAGGCTAGACAGTACGAGTCCTGCAACTTCAAAACCCTAAACAGGAAGGCACCGTGACACCGTCACGGCACAGAACCTTCAACCCTGATCGCATGGTTGCTCGTATAGTACCCCCCAATCACTACACTAAACCTTCAGAAAAACCGTAACCCTGGACCCTGCACCCCCAAAGCCCTAGCCCACCAAAGCTCCAATCGAAAGCCCCCTGAAACCGAAAAACCTCCACATCCTTTGAGAGGCCCGGGCAGTTCACAGATCCGGTTGGACCGCAACAGGCTCCGCCCATCCATACAGGAGCCTTCTTTAAACGGGGTCTTCGCAGAGTCATCCTACAATTGTATAGTGCTTTAAGGGCGCATAGGGCTGTGTAAAGGCCCTTGGCGTTAGCAGGGCTTGTTCGTCAGGCTTTATGAGAGTTTTGTTCTACAAGGGTTGTTGGATGGATTCGGAAGGTACGGGCTTCACAAGGCTTCCTGCCCGGGCCGGGGGGGAGTGTTGTTGAGAATTCAAGGCAAGTTTAGGGTGCAGAGGGCTTCAGAGTTGTCAACCACACATGCCAGCAGCATCGGCAAGAAACTGTAACCTACATCTCGCGTGCTGCGCTGCAATCCCTAAGAGTCCAACTACTTGCGATGAACAACGTGCGAGCGTAGCCGTCATCTACGTGCACATCGGGAAGCACTGGCAAGTATGACAACATCCCGGCTTGAGGACCAGCCGACCTAGCAAGAGGATTGGAAGTATGGCTTAACAAAATACCCCAAGCTATGCACCGCAGGAGCGGTTGAGGGCGGCTAACAGTCGTGACCAAGAAAGGTTGCTCTTCATCATGGTCTGTCTCATCGTCAGAATAGCTACCAGCTACCCGAGACGACCCACACGAGGAAACCCCTGTCTGCAAACGAGCCCAAATCTCAACACTAAATCCGTACACCCCACACCCCTGAACCCTCAACGCCTCACTGCGCCATGCAACCTTGAAACCTAATACCAACGAGCCTTAAAACAGAATCCCTCTACACCCTGCAGAACCTTCTTTCATACGGATAGATAGACTTCCTTCGCCAGAGCCCCCCTTAAACCCCGCAAGGGGAGGCCCGGGGGCCTCTCCGGAGGCCCTGCAGCCAGCCCGGGCGCTTGGACGCCCAACTCTCCGGGTCTCCGGGGTTTTCCCGAAACTCAGAGGAGGGAGGAAAATTCAGAGAGCAGTCGGAAAGACGAAGGGGGGAGGGCTCTGATTTCTTCGAGGCTTCTTGGGCTCAGCTTTCTTCATGACCCTGTGTCGTAACGATGCCAAGGACAAGGCAAGATCACTTGGAGCTTTCAGCTTTGGACGCTTCAAGGCTTCGTAAGCGGCGGATCCTTCCTGGCATAGGAAAACTGCAGGTTCAGGTCTGCAGACTGATCCGTCTGCGTGGTGGAGTATCCTTCTGCATTCACGGCCTAGTTGGGATCAGCTAGAAGTCGGTAGGTTACATGTCCGGAGTCTTTTGTGGCTGCGCCTCCTCACCCTACAGTGACCTGGTTGAGCAGAAAAGTGGCGAGCAAAGCTACTAGGATCAAACGGTGATTGAGCACAATCTCAAATTGCTGAACTCCCCATGTCGAAGTCGCCTAACTGTTTCAGATACCCACGAATCCGATATCCAATACTTTTTGCCCCCTATGTAGTTCGGCCGGAATTTGGCAGCTGCTTCCCTGAAAACGCCTGTTTCACCAAGGGATGCCTGAAAGCTCGTGCCATTGGCCTTTCTTTTCGAAATATGCTTTGCTTGGAGGCTGAGAAGCTGTACGCGCCAGGTCAAGTATACCGCCTCAATTAGGGACGAACTGAATGTAGCCTTCAACTGAAGTGTGAACTTCAGGAGAAGGGCCCAAGCCCACGGCTTCTGAGGTTTTAGAGATTTGGCTTCGAACCCTACTTGGAGGTTCATGGGTAGCTATAAGTGGGGATATAAGTCCCCTAATATGGGTTATAAGTATATTTGCCCTACTTTTAACTTCATTTATAACTACCCATGAACCTCCAAGTGGAGGCCTCTAGAAGCTTCATTTTCGATATCTTCCGGAGCCCTGAACCCGAAGAGCCTCCGACGTGCACCCTGAGCTAGACCACCACCTCGCCCCGAAATATAACCGGTTGATGGACTAGGGTCCAGGGTCTGGCTTTGGGTTAGGGTTTAGAGTTTAGGGTTTATGTTTTAGTTTTAGGGTTCAGGGGTGCTTTGCGCCGTTGGATTCTGAAGCGTTCAGGAAGGCACCTATCGTGTGAGATGCGAAGCATCAAGGTTTCGAGGCGATTGCGCAGAAATTTCTTCGGTTTTTCACGCAAGAGCCACCTCGAAAGCCAGAAGAATTGACCTGGCACCCTCCAGGGTCATCTCCCCTGCCACACATGGAGGAACGAGTTCGTACTGCAGCTGCACCTCGCCCCAAGAGAGGATGGGAAATTCTTCTGTAAGGAAAATTGTGTTGCTGGCATGGCATGCTTGTTCGGCAAACTGCAGGCCTGCACGGCAAAGGCACGTGAAAGGGATGCCCAAAGCGGCCGCACACAGTGCCAATCATCAGAAAGGTCCCAACCATCAAACAGGCGTCCCCATGGCGACTTCTCCATGGTGTAGCCCAAGCCCTGAGCATGCTGTTTTGAGTGCGCCCCACTCCAGAAAACATATGGTTCTCGTATGTTTTGCGGGAATCGTTTCTGGATTTCTTGGGCAAGCTGGTCAAACACAGCTCGAGCTTCAGGCTCTTGTCCCGCGCTTGCCAGCTCAAGCCCACGTATCACCAGCTTCCAAAGCCGTCTTGAGGTTTTCAAACCGATGTTAAGTCGGCGGCATCTCCGCAACCATTCAGAATGCGCAGGGCCAATGCGCATAGTGTCTGCTCGATTCGCCTCACGAGCTTTCCTGTGCCCAAATACACGAAAAGTGCCTTTCAAGGAAAAGACACGGCGAGAAAACCTACGAACCATGTGCAAGCCAGTGATCAGTTTCAGCGTCATTTGTATCAGGTAAAAGTACAGGCGGAGAATCAAGCAACACCCTGCTGCAACGAATCGGCAGCATAGTAGTCCGCGCAACACCTTGTCACATCTGATTCTGCTGAATCGCACCAGCATCGCCCAGCCCACGGCCAATGCCACAATCAAACTCCAAGTGCGAACATCACCTGCTTTGAGGCTGTCATGGTCGTCATGCATGTCGAGATATTCAAGCACATCAGCCACGATCTGGCCAATGTAAAGGCACGGTCCGTTGACGGCTGCATTGCACAAATGGCCATCTACCGCAGAAATCATGGACATGTTAGCAAGCAGGTCGGAGCTCACGATTTCGTCATGATGGTGCGGCGCTTAGGGTTTAGGACTTAGGGTGCAGAGGTGAGGGTTCGAGGCTTTGTGTTTCAGGTTCCAGGTGCTGCTTGCTCTATATCCCGAAGGACTGGTCTCAGGGTTGAGTGGTTTGGGATGTAGGACTTAGGAGCCTATAAGGCGTAGTAGGGTTTAAGGTGTAGTGTTTTACCATGGTGTTCAGCAACTTCGAGAAAAACTCAACCTTCGCTCGGCGTTCAGGGCTTTATCAGGTTGCTGTGACTAAGGAGGGTTTAGGTTTTAGGGTTTAGGGTTCAGGGTTTAAGGTTTAAGGTTTAGGGTTTAGATTTTAGGGTTTAGTCTTCAGGGTTAGGGTTCAGGATGTCGGACTGGGCGACTTAGGCTCCCAATCGGTATCATTATTACTTTGGGTCAGGGCTTCAGGGTTTAATTCGGAATTAGGACCTAGGGCATGGTTTAGGCTTAGGGTTTAGGCTGAAGGGTTTCTGTCCCTTCGTGGAGAACAATACAAGGGCTTATAGTTTTCAGAATAGATACTGAGCCCTGACACGATGCGCAATGCGCTCTGAACAACAAGCCTGAACACGGAACCCACAACCTCCAAACCCCTGCACCAAAAACCAATAAAAACCTTAGGCACCCATCATTGAAGCATAGACATCTCAGACATGAAGCTCAAATCCAAACTGGCCCTCTGGCGACGGTTTTGCGATTCGCTTGCATTGGCACTGTTCTCAGCGACTGGTCCGGCCGCATCCTTGGCTCATACATGCGGTGTGCCGAACATACAGGGTATGGGCTCAAGGTTATATGCCGTATGGGGCTTTTGCTTGCCAGGGGCATGTAAACGATCTTTACTCCAGGAACGGAAGAGTATCGAGGAAGCCTGCCCTCAGATGAAGAACAGTCAATAGCAATAACCAGAGTCATCATACTGCTGTGAGCAATATGATGACAATAGTAACCGACTCATGGCAAAGTTTCAGAAAAGAAACACGGAATCAACTACGGATCCAGACTTTCATAAACGAGCCCCAAGCGAAGAAGATATGGATCCCGACTTTCAGAAAGGAACCCCAAGCGGAAGAAGGGCTCAAATAGAAGCCCTAACGAACCCTTAAACGGAGTCGGAAACCACCCCAAAAACAAACACAAAGGCAAGCCGAGCGGCAACAGTTGACAGCACGAAGTTTAATTTACGTCTAAAAGTTCTACACGGGCTATAGAAGGGTCAAAGAGCGGCCGTGAAAGGTTCTGGAAGGGCATTACATGGCATTCAAGCTCCCTCTACCCGAAACCGGAAAGGCAACCCCTATAAGCCTTAAAGCTCTAAAGCGCCAAAACGAAGAAACAAACCTAACACCTCACGACAGTTGACGACATAGAGCTTTGGATAGATGGTGTTTCAGGAGCCAACAGAACCGTAGCACTCCAAGCCCAAGGCGGCAACTCTGACTCTGGTGCCCTGAACCCGGAATCCCGGAGGCGACACCAGCACAACTTCCCGGACCCTGATCCTAAACCCTAAACCCTAAACCCTAAACAATACAGAAACCCTAAACCCCTAAACCCTAAACCCTTGCAAGTGCTCCGGAAGCCCGAAAAGCTGCATCGCAACCCTTCTTCGCATCTCAGAAACAACTCTACGTACAACCCTCCAAACCCGCGCCGACAACCCACGAAGCCCGCCTTAGAAATGTACGATGACCCAAACAGTGTAGAGGCCTCAATAGCTAGAATAGGGTTTTGAGGTATGTATATATTAAGGAACCCGAATAAGGAATAGTATTACGTGAGTGAAGGCCTCTGTATCATGAGGATCCAAACAAACAGAAAATCGAAGATGATGGGAAAGCTTTGTCGATCCCAAGCTTTGTCGATCCCCGTGGCCGTACGCTCCGTGAAGAGGTCCCGAAAGACCAGCCAAAGAGAGACGCCCTGAGCACTCCATTGGATTCTCGTGAGCTTTAAAGCTCGAGGCTTGAGGGTGTAAGGGCTTTTAAGGATTCGAGGTTTTGCGGGTTTAGGGTTGAAGGGGTTCGGGATGAGTACGGATATGGGGCTGTTCATGCAGTTGGTATTGGCTCAAGAGGACCAGGCACCTGAGAACTCCATCCGCTTGTCAGAGGGTAAAAAATGTCGACCATAAAGCCATAAAGTACACAAACACCTTTGTATAACCCACTCGCGCATGGATTTTTGACCCTTCGAGCACGCTCACTCCCAGCCCCATGCTTCTAGAAACGCAGGGCTCCCTAATCTCAAGTCCTAAGGCCTTCACCCGGAACTAGATACAAAACCGTACAGCGCAACTCCTCAAACCCTGAACCTCAACGGCCTGAACTGGATTCAGGACGATGACGTCGCTGTGCTGGATCGGCCTGGCATAGTAAGGCAGGCCAGAATAGGGTCTCTTGCGATGGTTACTGTCGGCTGTAGCTTAAGCCCTGAACCCAGCGCGAATAAACAACACTGAGGCAAGATCCCGCATCCAAGCCAGGAGAATCGTGGTAGGCTTCTCGCATAGAAAATGCATCGTGCTTGCCGCTTGTCTCGAAAAAGGGCAAGCCTTTCAACCTTAAGCGCGGCTCGCAGATTGGGACCTTGCTACTTGTACCCGTGCATGTGCCTGTATTCATGTAGATATGTAGGTATGTGTCTATTTGTGTGCGTGTGTACGTGTGTACGTGTGTACGTGTGTACGTGTGTATGTGTGTATGTGTGTATGTGTGTATGTGTGTATGTGTGTATGTGTGTATCTGTATATGCGTGTTCGTGCGCATGTGTGTAGGTCGGTCGGTCAGTCGGTAGGTAGGTAGGTGGGTAGGTGGGTATAGGTATGCATGTGTGCATGTAGGTATGTACGTATATACGTATATATGTACGTATGTAGGTAGCTATGCAGGTGTGTATGTGGGTACGTATGGAAGTAGTTTTGTAGGCATGTATGTACGTACATTTCTATGTACTTATGTATGTATGTATGTACCTATGTATGTATGTATGTATGCATTTAGGTAGGTAGGCAGGCATGTAGGTCGATATGTGCATATATGCGCGAGGATGCATGCATGCATGCATGCATGTATGTCTGCATTTATGTGTGTGGTATGCAGTGAATGCGAGGTAGTTGAGCGCACGAAATCTAAGCTACGCAAAGCAATGTAGTGTAATATGATGTGATGTTCTGTGATTTTATGTGATGTAATGTAATGCAATGTACGGCCCGGTAATGTAGGGTAGAGATACTGTTGAAGGCAGTGTTGGGGCAGGGCAGGGCAAGGCAATGCAATTTAGTTTAGGTGAACGTATGCGCAGGAGTTAAACATCTAAGGCTTGTGATCGTACAACTGTAAACACCCCGTCTTCTTCGAGCTATACGTGGCAGAGGCCTTCGAGATTGGGGTGCTGTGGATTCTCAGGATCCTAGCGGGATGAGTTGAAATGAAAACTAACAGGGCCATGCAACGAATGCGCTTCATGGGGGGTCTGGTTATGCTTTCCTTGTCTCACTCAATATATTCCAAAAGGAACTCTGTAGGGAAATAATACATTGGAAAACAATAGAAACTCCAAATAACCCCCGACAAATGCTAGATCGAACATAACGGCAAGGGTTCTGAAATCAAGACTCTCAAGGCCTTTTAAAGCCATTACACCGTTAGGATGTGCATCTCTTCACTCCGCAAACCTTTGCTGGCATGCGGTGCTGCAAGGGAAAAATAGGAACTCGCATGCCAAGAACCCACAACAAGGACACGTTACCGTGGAGAACACCTTAGAGGTATCATGCTGCAAAGGATTTTGTAAGTTTTTCGGCGCGCGCTCTAAAGCACTTGTCCCCTCCCTAAATCCCAGAACCCAAACAACGAGACCCGGCACCTGCACCACCAAACAAAAACCCTTCAAGCCCTAGGCCCTAGAACCTTGAACTCGAAAGAGTAGCCCTTTCGGACTTTAGGACTACGTTTGAAACGAGATCCCAAACGAAATTTGCAGAAAGCACCGGACCACACCTCCGGCCCCCGTGGCTCAGCGGAGCGGCCGAATCAACTTCCTCAGGAGCCGCGGTCCTGCGAAGCTGCGCTTTGCTCTTTGTTATCTGTTGGTATAATGTATTATATCATATCATACTATCGTATATTACATTGTAACAGTATTATATTATACTATATTACATTACTTCTTCGTGTCCTTAACTGAAGCTTCAGACTTCATGTTGGAGTGTTCGTGTTCGCGGCTTCGTTGTTGCTGTTGTTGGTCCTCGTAGGGTTCAGGGGCGGTAAGGACTCTTTCCTTGTAGGGCCTAGTAGTTAGGGCATACCGGATTCCGTCAGATCTTGCAGCTCCTTGTTGCCCCTCATCGGGTTCTCACTCTGTGCCCTAAGTCGCCAATGTCTCTCAACAGGGAAAGACTTCTTGAGCAGAATGAGCTCAATAGCAAAGCCTGCTTGATTGAGCTGGTTCGTAGCTCCTTGCTGCGGAGAAACCCGGCATTGGGCTTCAGGCACAAGAGTTTCGAGAGCGCTTGACGAGAGAGCGTGGCACCAACCCCAAAATCCTGGACTGATCTGCACCCCCACTCGTACACTGTTTCAGTAAACCTTTCTGTGGCCCAGCACAAAACTACGATGGATTCTACAAACCCTCCAAAGTCACTCCTGCCGCACCAATAAGGTATTCAGCCACATGCTTATCAGTACATCCCACACCCTTAACCAAAAACCCCAGTCAGTTCCCAATCCTTCAACCCAAACCCTCCCCAGCCCCTCGGTGGGCTCCGGCATAGGCGGATTGGGTTCGAGGCGCTGAGATTCCTCACGTAGAAGGCGGCCTGAAGGGCAGTGGGAGTTGGGTATTCGGGGCTCCGGGGCTCCGAACCTCCGGGACTCCGGCTCCGGGAAGGGGGTTTTGCGGGTGTTTGGCGGCGAAGGTTCTGCAACACGAAGAGTATGCCCCGTGCTCCGCGAGATGCAACTAATTCGGGTTTAGGCCTAAGCTCATTCGACCGGCGGCTGTCCAGCATTCTTGGAATCTACAAAGACCTGGAATCACGATCCGTTGCTGTTCGAAACAAATGCCCAGGCAATCTGTGCTGAACCGCTCCCAGCATGAGTTTGTTGCTAGTGCCTTGCCGGACGCACCCACTCAAACACCCCCAGCACTCCCAAGCTACAAGCCCTAATTACAGCCGAAGCAGCAACCTCAAAATCCCCAAACCGGGTTTACGTACTGCGACAACAGTAAGCCCCGAGCGCCCCACACCCCGAACGCTCCAAGCCCTAAACTTCAAGCTTTCAAGGTCCCAGCGTTTCTGCTCGTCAGAGAGATCTCCTCGCTCACCTGGACGGGATTTAGGGTGATTTATAAGGGTGTCCTGTGTTGTGATAGCTTTATGACTACAAGTACTTATGAAGGTTAATAAGGGTCTGCTGCTTTAGGAGGAATTTACAGAGGTTGAGGATTTTTAGGTGTCAGGACTATTGGGGGCTTGTAACGGCCTGTCGGGTGTTTCAAGCGTGTTGTTGAAACTATTGGGCTTCCATCAGGATTTAGGGTTCACAGGGTTTACGGCATGACATACGGTTCGGCTCTGGGACGAAGTGCAAATCACTTGGTTCTACATGGTTAGGGCCGACAGGTTGTTGGGTTTATGCGAACAGTTTGTCCTTACCTCTTGGTTCAGGGTGCATAGAGAAAGTCTAGTACCAAAAACCTGCACAGCATCTGTTGGTCCTCTGTTCTCGTGCAGGGATTGGGCGATTCGAGTTCTGAGACTCTCCCAGATTCATGGTTTGAATCCTCCATATCACAGCAACGGTTGGTTTGAAGGATGGCTCCAAGCAAGGGCATCACTCTGCCACAACAACCTTGAAGCTTCGAAGCTCTCCTGGGTGTTACTTCGGGGTAGCGACCGTCAGGCTTTCAGGGGCCATTGCCGCCATGGCACAATCAAATTCTCAATGCATACAGTTCGTTGGCATGTCCGCGAAGCTACGTGTGAGCAATGGAACCCAATGTGACTCGGAATCCCCCCACAAGCACAGAGGCATGCCACTGAAGAGCATGAGCCTCCCCCCCCCAAGCGTGGGACCGAGGACCGAGCCTCAATCTGGAGGTGCTGGCGCGACAGGGAGTTCAAGGCATTTTCGTTCAGCAAGCGCCTCGGACTGTCCAGAGACGCTCTTGTTAGGTACTGCCCCCATATAGTCACAGTCCATGACAGGGCTACTATTACGTTCATAATATATCCATATTATGAAGATTATCCAACTGTTACTGAGTGGGGGCAGTACCCAAGGCTCTTGGGTCTTCTGTGCAGGAGAGAACATACCTCCAGGGCAACAGCAAGCCCAGGGTTCAAGACCACTGGGCAAGGAAATGCATTCACCCTGCAATCCAGCCCAGTTTATGGCAACATCTTCTCTACCGGCAATTTGCTTTTTGCTCGTTTGTTTGTTTTTTTAGTTGTGTGTGTGTGTGTCTTCGGGATGCTCGGCCGGCGCTTCAGCACTTGAGAGCTTCAAGACACCGCCCAAACTCCGCATACGGACACCCCTCGAAATCACTTGGGAGACCTGACCTCCGCGGCCTGAAACACCGGCGCGAAGCCGCAAGCAGAGCCGGGAATCCGACCGCCAGTAGCTCCGCTGCGACGACCGCCCAAGCAGCAGCGGAAAGCAGCTTCCGATCTTCTTTCCCTCTCAGGGAGGGACTTTCTAAATACCTCTCCCCTGCCTTGACGTTTAACGTGTACTTCTGCTGCAATGAAACTCCTTGCGTCAGATTTCTACGGCAGACGGCCGCTCGCAAAAGCCCTCAAACCCTGGACCACAAAACCTGCACCCTGAATCCCCAAACCCTAAACACACAAACCATGAAACCCAAAACAACCCAAACCACGCACCTCCGAGATGGCTGGGCCGTGGATGATCCGCAGATCCTGGCTAAACATCTTTGGGAGCTTCACATTGGGGGTTCAAATGATGTATCTAGTCCATTTCCAACGTTTTGCCCAAACTCTGGTTCCTTTCGAGAGGTGTGCTGCTGTTTCAGAAAATCCCCAGTCCTTTTGAAGCGGTTTTCTGCTAATCCTCAAACACTGTAGTCCGGTTGCTTTTTCTCGTACGGTCTTTTTCCTGTTGCGCCGTTTGCTCCTCTCTTACAAGCAAACTCCATCCTTTTCGAGCGGTTTGCTCGTGTTTCTCAAATACTTCAGTCTCTTTCGCAGGGTTTGCTCTCGTTTTTGAAATCCTCAGTCCCTTTCGCGTTATCTCAGTCCCTTTCGGGTGCTTCGCCACTGCATCTCAATGGCTCTTGTTTCTCAAGTACTCTAGTCCCTTTCGAGCAGTTTGCTGCTGTTGCTCTAACACCCTGATCAATGTTGTGGGGCTTGCTCCTGCCTTATCGAATGAATGCTCTAGTCCGCTTTGCGCGAGTCGAAAATACTCTATAGTCACTAGTCACTTGCGGGCGGCTTGCCGAGATTTTCAAACACTTCAGTCAGTTTCTAATGGTCTGACCTCGTTTATCAGATATTTTAGTCCCTTTCGAGCTCATGTTTTCTTGATGCTCTGTAATCCCTTTCGAGTTGCTCTTTTCTCCTCTAGTCCTAGTCCCTTTTGTGTGGTTTGCCCTTGCTTCACAACTTGTCCAACACTCCAGTCCCATTTCGAGCGGCTTGCTCCTGTTTCTCGAATACTGTAGTTAATTTCGATTGGTTTGCTCTGGTTCTCTAATCCCTTTCGTGCGGTTTCTCAAACACCCTCGTGCAGTTTGCTCCTGTCTCTCAAGAACTCGAGCCCTTTTCGAGTTGCATGCTCCTGTTCCGCTTCGAGCGGTATGCTCTAGTTTCTCAAACACTCAAACACTCCATTCACCATTTTCTTGCCTCGTGTAGAAAGAACCCCTAAATGCAACAGTGAAGCCCTTTCAACCCGGACCGGTAGAAACGAAAAACAACTAATTGTGGGAGTTTCCGAAACTAGGGGACCGTAATATAGTGCCCCAAATAGTAGGATCCTTATCATAAGGACCCAACTTCTCGGAAACTCTAAACCCTCATAGAGCCCTTTGAAGGAACCCTGGTAGTGCCCGTATAGTAACCCCTTAAAGGAACCCTTAGGTACCCCTAGTTTTGGGAAACTCCCTAATCCTCTCCCCCGGGCCTCCTTTGGCACGTCGACCCGAAGGCATTCGCCGCCGACCTCCAGCGCAAAGAGAGGCCTCGACGCGAGGGGATGAAGGCTTTCGGTTGCAGTGTGTTACTTTAAGGAGTTTGAAGATTTAGTCGATCCCTACCTACCTACCTAGCTATCTGCCTGCCGATCTATCTCTATCCGTTTCGGAAATATGATCAGTGTTAGGTATGTATATACATGGCCTTTGGGTTTAAGGAGGCCGTTAGGGTTGTTTGTGGGTTCGGGCGTCTTTTTGTGTTCTTGCCTTATTTGGCAATAGAGCTTCATGCAAAGATGTAGGGGTTGCTGCTACGGCTTTTGTTATGGTTGAAGCATCCTCTTAGATGTAAGTTTTTGTGTGCTCGGCAAGGCTTTAGGGGACGTAGGGCCTCTGCCACCAGCGGGTTTAAACTTGTTTGCAGAGCTGTACGGGGTTTCAAGGCGTTTGCATATACTGTGGTTTTCGGATGGGTTTTCGAGGGATTGGGGCTGTACGGTAGGGCGTGCGGGGTTTTTGATTATAAAGGCTTGGGATGTAGTAGGTTGTTTATGCTTCTTGCGGGCTCGGTTGTTCTAGGCACTTGGATCTCTGGGAGCATCAGGTCCTTGGTGAGGCGAATGCCCCTTGAGAAATCCAAACTTTCATCACAACAGGGAGCAGGAAGAACCCGAAAAGTAACGCTTAGAGACACTAACACGAGACATGCGAACTAAATTTTGACGCATAGACTCGAAACTTATGTGCCAATCCTTCTCGTTGTTTGTTGTGAACACTTACTGTAAACTCTACACCCAAGACCGCAAACGCCCCAAACCCCAAAACCATCCATACCGTAAACTCCAAGCACCGCGAAGTAAACCCCAGCACAAGCACCGCGGCTCAGTGCCCAACAGGAGCTCCACGCCAAGAAACGAGACGCCCTGCACCGACCTCGACTGGGTTCAGCGTTTTGGCTAGGAGCTTAAGGCAGGAAGACGTGAGACGTGAGACGTTTTAAAAGAAAGAGCTCCGTCACCGCAAGAGCCGCCCAGCCAAAGCCTACACTCTAAATCCTAAACCTTCATGCCCTGGCCCCGAAAACCTGAAACCCTAAACAGTAAACCCCTGAGCTCCAAACTCCTAAACCCGAAACCCTGTAAAAATCCAGAGAGCCCTAAATACTGTATCCCACATCCTGATCGCGATAGATCCATTTGACCCGAGGCTCCAATCTCAAATGGGAGCTTCACAGCAAACATAGGGTTTAGGGTTCAGGGGTTTAAGTTTTAGGGGCCTTCAGAACCAAAATAGGGCTCCGTTCTGGGGGCATGTTGTTGATAACTATAGCTCGACAGGTCTTTTACGGTGAATTTATCGCAAGTAAGCCCTTGAACCTAACGTCGGACATACAGTAGAAGCCAGAAAGTTGGAATATCATTATCGTAACCCCTTTAAGGTAAATTATAGGGGATCCTACCATTAATCCATATTCCAACTTTCTGGAGTTCCCTTTAAACGCCGGCAGGCTGAAGGCCCAAACTTTCAAGCCCACACCGCTGCAACCACAGCAACGCAAAACGGTAAAACCTCTGGGAATGAACAATCCTCTGCTTCAGGGTTCATGAGTACATATGAATAGGGATCTCAATGGCTAACTAGTGCACTGAGGTTTAAGTTGCAAGACTTCTAGTGCTCGGGCCTTTGGGTTTCCATACCCCTGATTCTGCTCAATAAATCCACAGATTCTGGACAGATGGGTCCTGGCCACCCGGCAATCCTGAAGCTAAGGCATCACAGCCTGAGACCTCAACGATCCTGCAAGTTGGGATACGGATACTTGTGAAGTAGGGGCCTTAATAATCGGAACAGGGTTTCGAAGTACATTATGGTGTAGCTGTATTCGGACGGTGAGGGGCGAATATCACTATGTGCTCAAACTTCTACAGCCCACTTCCTTCCACAAACCCACAACCCCCCAGATGGCCAACTTCAGAGATCTGAGAAGGGACTGCAAGGGATAATAACCCTCGCTACCCTACTTGTAACCCTGATCCTTTGTGCCGGATTTGGGGATCAAGACTAAGTCCTCGCCTCCTGGGCCAAACAGACCCTCAATCCCCAACTTTAAGTCCCCAAATCTTAAACCTAAAACCCCAAACCCGGCCCAAACCTGAAACCTTCAACCGCACGCCCCCAAAAACGCCAAGGCCAAGGGCCCCACCTCGCGGCCTCGAGCATCGCTGGCGGTACGACCGTCGCTTCCCTGCGCCCGGATTCTAGTTCATGGTTGGGATAGGATTAAAATTCTCAATTTGTATTCCTCATTGGGTTTAAGTATCCATAAAAATGTAGAATGTTACCCAACTATGACAAAGGATTGGGATGGAGTTCGCGCAGGCTCGGAACGCAAAGGAATCAGGGTTTAGGTTGGGACTTGAAGGGTGTGGATAAGACTTAACGGGTTTAGGGTTTAAGGGTTTTGCGGTTTAAGCTTGAGGGTTTTATTGTTTAAGGCTTGAAGCAGTTACAGGTTTACTGGTCTTTGACGACTCGGAAACGTCTTGCAATGGTGAAGACAACCACACATCCTCAAGGATACCGTGTTCATCGAGTTTTCAAAAGCGGCTCATGGGCTTCACAACCACTTGGAGTTTCGAAACTGGAAAGAAACTGTGCTCAGAAGTTCAATTGAGCATTGCAGTTAGAAGTTTGGCTTGAGGTTGTTCTGGCGTTGACAAAGTCCTGAACCCTAAAGCTTGAACTCGGGTCTCAGTTCGGATTTCTTCGCGTAGGACTGAGTCTTGAAAAGTCGGGTGAGTTGAGTCTTCTCTTTGGGAGATGACATCTAGACCCAAGAGTAAGCTAGTAATAAAAAGGGTGCCCTGTTTGGTTTAAAGGGGGTTATAAGGGAACCTGAACCCTTAAAAAAGGGAATAAGGGCTTACTCTGGGTCCTAGACATGGGTTGCTTCAGGGTGGCTGCGTTTGGGCTTCGAGGCTTGGGCTCTGGGTCTCGGCCTACAGGGGCGTAGGCCTATGTGGATACTTATCTATTTTCACAATCAGCACCAAAGCAAAACACCCTAAAAGACCGGACCCAAGGCCCTGAGGCCTGAAGAACTGGCAACAGTGCGTGCATAACTCAATTAGAATTACAGTCCCTATGTGACTCTTGTAGAATATGTCTCGAACGCAAATTCCAGTCTAGTCTTTTCAGCCTTTCAGCTCCCAATGAATAGTACCTGAACGTGACTTTGAAACTCCGATGCGGCCTTGCATCCGTTGCCGTGCTCTCGAAGTCCTGGCACCAGGCGACGTCAACCCAGGAGGGAGTTTATAGTGTAGGGCTCCAGGCTCAAAGGGCTTGGTGCAGAGCTTATGTTTCTTTTACTCCAACCGCAACTTGAAGCCATGCTTGCACCTTTGCTGCTTCGCTTGATCCTGCAAGTGCTAGAAAGCAAGGCGTAGCTAGCGTTTCTGAAGTTGAAAAGTTGCCGTGACACACTGTGATTCGGGCGACTCTTCGGCCGAAATGCCATCAATCACAAACCCTTATGAAGCCACAGTTCTGTACCGATTCTCGGGCGTCGGCGTAGGGTTCAAGATTAGGCGAATAACAATCGGAAACCTCTAATCTAAACACCCAGAGATCTAAACGGCACACCCCCAAGCCGCCAAGCCCTAAACCCTGAACTGCAAAAAGCTGAAATCTTTGTCCGTCACCACCGTGGTCGAGGTCTTCAACGGCATAGCCTCCAAAAGCGGGTTGGGAGCAGCTTGATGCTTACATTTTGGGCTTATGATCAATGACTTGATATTTACAAGTTTGGGGTTTCAGCCTTGGGTCGTGCAGTGAGGAGGGTTTCAACTTTGGGGAGTGTTGGGGCGGGTTGCGAGCCAACGAATCGTGCCGTCTTGTCTTTGGGGAGGGGGCGGACGGGAGGCCTGCTCTCTGATTTCCGCACGGCCTGTGTGAAGTAGCTGAACGAAATCTGTAAGATCTTTCCACCTCAAAGCCCCAAACCCCTGTACCCTACATCCCACACCCTGAAAACCCTAGCGTCTTAAAGCACAACGCCAACGATGTCCGGCTTTTTAATGGGTTTACAATGGCTTCACCAGGACCCTCCCTTCGTCCTTAAAAGAGGGTGGTTTCGCGTGCCGAATATACAAACCCTAAACCCTTTCTTACACGGATGAGCTCAGTTTACACTCCGGGCCCCCCAAAAGGCTCTGGGGGTATGCTTTGGTGCATAGGATTCAGGATTTTGGGGTGTGAAGCTAGCAGGTGGACCCTCTGAGGGTCTTGGGAGGAACGCGGGTGTTAAACTAGACCCAAAACCTTTAACCATCAGGCTTAGGGTTGCAAGGTGCATTTTTGGGCTTCAGGGGTGAGGGTCTATGACCACCCCTGCGTGCAGCCAGGCCATTAAAAAGAGAAAATTTCATGCTGCCGAAGAACGCTGTGGCAGGGGGCTATCTATCTATCTACAAATCTATCAATCTATCAATCTACCAACATACCTATCCATCTACCGATCTATCTATGGTTTAGGGCTTCCGATTCAAGGTTTACGGCCTGGGGCCCCTGTATGCCGCAGCTGCCTAGAAGGGACACTGCACGACGCACGGAAGAGTGCGACTTGTTTAGGAACCCTAGGGGTTTAGGTCTAGGGCTCAGGAACCCCACAAGTAAGCCATACGATAAAAGCTGAACCTTAAACCCGAAAACCCCCTAAACCCGAAATCCTGAAGCCCGAAAGGCGAAAGCGAGTAGAAACCAAACCATCATATGAAACTCTTTAATCAGCCTAAAAACGGCCACGTACCCTTGCGGACCCCCCCGTGAATCGGCAAACCCTACAAGCCCGGTCCTTTAAATGCAGCGCACGTCCGAACCATGCCCTATCGACAGGGGAGATGGGGCAGGCTCCGAGTAGAAACGTTCAGATAGGATTCGGCACTAGGTTCCTGAGCAGCCCCTGAATAACAAGGGCACCCTTTTTCCTATTCTTCCGTTTTAATACGGGGCCCTAAAAGGAAGAAGAGCAAAGGGTACTACTCAGGAACCGAGGGTTATGTAAACCCTTCTGTTCTGATGACCGCAGTGAGAACATCTCCACGACTCTACGGTCAGAAAATAAAGATACGGGCTGCTATTGGCTGCAGAACACTGGCACCGTGCGTAACGACTTCTTGCGGTATGTCCGAGGTCCACATGTCGTCGCTCAACGCCAACGGCGGTGGTGTCCCGGGAGCATCCAGCAAAGCCCTCACACACTGCCGGCAGATCGGCGCGGAGCAGTTCGGCACGATACGTCCTCAGGACAGTAAGACACTTTGGTATGACCGATTTTGGTATGACTGATTCGTCGCGTCCACATGGCGAACTCGTCGGCCATGTCCACGCAGGACCTATACCGTGCGTAGCTTCGGGGAAATGCTGCTTGGTGCGTGTCTGCGATCGCCAGGCCCCTCACGGCACGCCGCCTCCCTTCCGGCCCTTCTCCACCGGACGCTGCGGCTCCGACGTCGCCAGTGTCAAGCTCTAACGCAAAAGTCCCTGAACCACAACTTCTTTAGCCTATCTTGGCAGGAGTGTACGAAAGTTAGGAGCCTTCAACGGGACCGGGCTGTCTTCCGAAATGTTCAAACAAGGCTCTGGACTGCGAGTAAGATGTTGGTACCAAAAAAGAGTTCGGGAAAGAAGCCCTATATACATTGGCATAGCGTCCCAGCCAAGGTTAAAGGACAGCTCTACAGAGTGAGGGAAGCACTCAAAGGCTTTGGACTTAGGCCGTCGAAGTCCCACCATTTAGAAGCAAAGCGATGCCAGACATGGTAGAGCAATGAAAGCAAGACAAAAACCCTACCTAGCCCACAACACCCCTAATCTTTAACCTGCCGACCACATGCCCAGTGCCTCCCGAGGGGTCGGCGGGGCTGGTTCGGCTACCTGCGGCAAGCCGCAGAATTTTGAAGAGTTGCGGTTCCGGTTTGGAGCTTCGACTTCATTGCTTTGGCGCAAAGCATCCTGAGGCTTCGGGTTTTGGGTTCAGGGTTCGGACTCGAGAGCTTCCGAAGCCATGACCCTGAGCCTCCACCCGTAAATGAAGCCTGAAAGCTGAACCGCCTACAAAAGCTTTAAAGCTCCCAAGGTGACCGAAATCCCTTCTTTTACACACGCCCTCGAAAACCATCTAATTCCCATATACCAGCTCAAGTACATACCCACTTCATAAAAGACTCTTCTGAACGGCGGGCCGGGACGGTCTGCAGCGCTGGCGGGGCAAGCGCGGAAGATCGCATTTGGACGTGGCCTCACCACGTGTCAGAGGCAAGCTGCCGAACATCCAAGAAATCAAAGATTGGCCTAAATGCGATAAAAGCTCGGCCGCATAGCCTTCTAAGCCCGAAATACATCCGCTACACCTAAACCCCGACTTGGAAGGGCGGAAGCATTGGGGCTTGGGGAAGCGGAACGCCAAGCGACCCAAGTTTGACACTGGAGGCCTAAAGCCTAAACTCGTGGACCCGAAACCGATATGAGACAATTGGGTCCGGGGAACTCGACACCCTCAAGCCGCCCCGAATAGCAACTACCACCTGTCCTTATATGAACCTTTGCATCTCAATCCCTGCGAAGGAAAGTGCATAACTTCCGTTACAAGCCTGATCTTTGCTCTCGCAAACGCATGATCCAGGTGCCGGTTGCAAACTCCCCCCCTCCTCTAAGATCCACCGTCATGGGAGAGTCACGGTCTGTCTACGTAAAATTATAGCATCGCGTTCCCCGACGCAACGGGCCCAGACTGTAGTAGAGGAACAATTTAACTGCTCCGCTGGGCTTGCAAGAGACTTTGTATATAGCAAGCCGGGGAGGCGGGTAGAGTCTTAACGTTATCCAAGAGCAAATAGCTGACATCGGAGATATGCTTCAAGACACCCCCATCCCTAGATCCTAAACCCCGTAAGCCCATGTAAACCCTGAACATCTCAGAACTCAACAAGAGTCCTCATCCCTAAACAAGCTTGACTCTAGACCCTAAACCCATAAACCCTAAATCCCTGCAGCCCCAAAATTCACAACACCCCAAACACTGCAGCCCGAAAAACCCACAAGCTAATCCCAGCGGCGCGAGGGGAGCAGCCATGGACCAAGGCCCTGCCAACCGTTCCGAGAGAATTCGACTACGGCTTCCTTTGTTTAGGGTCCGTTGGGGACGGCGGGAGGAGGTTGGGTGGTGTGAAGACTTCAGGCTAGGCGTTGAGAGTTCCGGGCTTGAACTTTTTGGGGGGGCGTTTCACAGGAGATACTGAGGGTGACAGCTGTAACCCCGACAAGGTTCGGGATCGGGGGTTTCGGGTTTAGCAACACTATACCCACATACCGGGGACTGAACCATCGGTAGCACTGTTCCCCCGGGCTCCTTAGCAATACTCGTACCTAATGATACCCTGTTCGAGCGGCTAATGGCATGCAGCAGGCAACTGGAGAGCGGCATGTATCACTGAACACCAGGAACAAGGACTACTAACTCTGAATATGGCTTTCCTGGGTTCTTGCTACGGAAGGTCGCGGGAGATGCCACAACAAGGACTACCAAACTTCATAGCCGTAACGTTGGCCTCATGTAGGGCTGTGGGGGCTTCAGGGCTTCAGCTTTCTAGATGGGGGCCTTGCGCTCGACCGGAACTCTAAACCCAAGGTCTGGGCCCTGGGGTTCGGGTTCCGCCCAACTGCACTGGTGCTCACGCTTCCTAAACCCCAACTCTCGGCTTGAACCTGAGTGCAGAAGAACCTCTGAAGTTGATGTGGCCTGGCAAAACCCGGGGCTTGGGCTTCGCCACCTGAACGCTGAAACCAGAAAGGCTCAAGACCCGATCTCTGAAACCCCGAATCCCAAACCCTCACTTCCACAAGCCTGGGCTTATAACAGGGCCCTACCAAAGACACCCAAAAACGCGAAACCGCACGGCCGAGCAAAGTCGCTTGAGGTAAGACGAACGAACCCCTGAAGCCTTGAGGAGGGAGCCGCTGAGGTCGAAGCGGAACCTCTTTGCTTCGGGGTCCACGGTTCAGGGCTTAATGTTCAGGGTTTGGGGTTTAGGGTTTAAAGTTAAGGCCCAAGGGGCGTGGAAAATGCTGAGTTTGGGTTTGAAGCTTCATGTTTGGGCCGTAACGTGTAGGGCAGTGGACCAGTGGAGCTCCGCAGCGCCAGTCGCTAAATCAAGGGAAGAGCGCGAAGTGCCATGAGTGTCTTGCCCAAGCTGCTGAAAGCCGCTCTTCCTACTTACAAATGGCGCTTCATGTTAAGGAACTCGAGGTTGTCATAGGACATAGCAACACCAAGGTAGATGATGTGACTAAGGGTCCAATCCCGGCCGAACGTCAGGAACTTGCCTGTTCCGGGTTTGGCGACCAGCCCTCGTAGCACGCGTGGAGCACCTCAGCCTTCAGCAAAGCTGCGTGCGGTGAGAATGTGCATGCATTGCTGGCATGCCACAAGGCAATCTTGAACTCCTCGGTGTCGTTGAAAAGCCACCAAAAATGCGTGTCGTCCACAGTAGAGCCGAGTATGTGGCACACCACCCCTCACCTAGTCTAGTTTCGAGCACTTTGGTGAGGTAACGAGATGCAGCACCGAAGGCTGGGCGAGAGTTTGCAGCCTTTCTTGAGGATCACTCGACAGGCTAGCGCCCAATTTCGCGGTGCATCAGGGCTTGTGGTCGTGCTTCGTGATGCGTCGGAAAATGCCTCTCGCGATGTGGTGCGACAGAGCTTGTAGTCTTGATAAGTTGGAACACTCTTGAGGCGACGTCTTGCGACACAATGCCAAAGATAGTGAAGGTAGCACGATCTCTTGGAACCACGACCGCCAATACTACTACTATATGCACTCTACTTGGCCCTGCGGAGCCATGACCCTGAAACACATTTGTTTCGGGCTCCCTGCTATGAGAGAAGACAGGTCCCACAAGCCACAAGCCTCACGCCCTGAACCCACCCACGCCTCGAACCCTGACTCCCGAAACCCGACAGTAACACTCCCTAAGCCCTACGCCACAAACCCCTCAAGCCTCGAACCCTCCCTGAGTTTCAGATGTTGGGCGGAAGAGGGAGTTGAATAAAGAAAGGAACCCCCTCAACGTCATGAAGGGATCCTCAATCCTTACCCCTAAGCCCTCAAACTCCTGCGCTCGCATAAGCAAACATTAGAACCCAAGACCCGATTTAAGAAAGCTCAGACCCTTCAAACGACAAAATGCTTACAGTAGATAAAAGTTTCCGAGAATGGGGGGACCCTGAAATAGTAACCGGATCCTACTATTAAGGACCCCATAATAAGGTACCTACCCATTTTCGGAAACTCCCACATGAGTCTCGGAGAATCCAAGGGGCTCCATCAGGGGCGAGGCGCTCCCGGGCCCTGGGCTTTATAGGGCTCCTAAAAGGGGGGGTGAAGGTTGAGTTCAGGATCTCGGGACCCAGGGGGGGGGTTAGGGCATAGAGATTGATTTAAAGGACTTAGGAGTTTAGGGCGTGGTGTGGTGTTACTTAGTAGACTTCTGCCCATGTGTAACTACAGCTAGTGTCGAAATGAACACGACTCGGCTGTTTGGCCTTGCTGCCACGATTGTGACCTCAGCTCTAGCATAGAAATGCAGCAAATTCCGAGCAACCCCAAAATGCAGGCAGAGATAACACCTCATAGAGACCACGATACCCATACACAACCCGATCAAACGCCCCAACAGCTTTTAAACAAAACCTCCTAAGGTAAAAGCCAGAAAGTTGGAATATGATTATCCTAACCCTTCTATGGTAAATTATCGGGTATCCTACCAAGAAACCATATTCCAACTTTCTGGAGTTCCCTGTAGCTGATGCTCGGTGAGGGGCGGAGCAGCACGATCCGATCGCCATCGGCCAGTGGCACCTCACCAGGAGCACAGAAGTCGATCGGTCAAGCAAACTCCCTTGCGTGCTTTAGGAACTTTAGGTAAAGGGCCCATGTCGACAACTACATAGAAAGGGGGATTCTTACAGAAGTGAAGCACTCTCTCAAATCCTGGGTTTACACCAGCAGCGTGGGGGAGAAATCCTACGACGCTGCATGGGAGATCTCCTACACCACGGTGTTACACTTTGAAGGATGCTTGTCTCGCAATCATTTTCGTTCCCCAAATGTCGCCACCAAGCCATAGGACATCAACCTTTGAGTCTGAATCCTTGCTGTCATGATGATGGCGAGGATGATCATGATACTTGGTTCTCACGATCAGAACAGATAGCCATCCTTACCCATGGTACCTGTTTAAGCTAGTATGCATATCAAGGATCCTGTTTCTACTGCCACCGGTGCGAAGATTTCCTTCAGTGACTACCACAAAGTCTTACTAGTTTGCTTGCTGTGTATGAGTATGTGTGATGCAGATATGCGCAGTCTGTATGGCACCTATTGCCATCATCTGATCCCTAAACCACAAACCCTAAACCCTAAACCCCAAACCTTAAACCCCCAAACCCTAAACCCTAAACCACAAAACCTATACGCCATAGTATCACCAATGCTCACGAGTCGAAGGGGTCCCGAGCCAGGCTCCAGGGTTTGAAGAAAGGGGGGCCTCTAGCCTATTGTCTACATACATACCTATAGCCTCTAGGTATGATTACGAGTCATGAGAACTATGTGGCGGTATATACAGCTCATTCAATACAGTACCTTGACCAACGAACTGCTTGGTGTCTGGGCTTGTAGGAAACCAAGACCCCCAGATCCTCACTCCGAAACAGAACGCAATGTATGAAGTTGCCCCAAACCCTGGCACATCTGGTGCCCTGTTTGCAGGCTCTTGGGTACCCTACTCGGCCACGTAAGAAGGTATACACCTAGTTAGCTTATGTTACTTTAAGCTGTGCATACCGAGTCCTGTGATCCTTTGAGTAGACCCTAAGACCCCAAACCCGTCACGCAGCAAACCTGAACCAACAACCTTATGAAACCCCCGCTTAAACTTGCCCATCGGCCTGCTCACCCCCGATGGAAAGCAGCTGATCGTTCACCATGGTGCCATTGGAGCTGAAGTTCCTAAGACGAAACAGACGACAGCTCCAGGAAAAGGGCGCGTAATAATGAGCCCAATGCCAACAAGGAGTCCCTTGATTTCGTTTCAACAAGTACGTTGGGTTCATTTAGGGGGGCGATACGGCTTCGGCTGCGGAGTACTTCAGCAATGCAAATAGATAAGCTGTTCCAGCACGAGCTGCTTTTGCGGAAAAGGGTCTCTGCGCGTAGGAGGGGCAATTGGTATGGGCAATACTCTTTCATGTAAGGATTTGAAGGCCTTTGCTCCCTCTTATCAGTCAATCTCATGCCGGAAGCCGCTAGGCAAACACATTGCACCAAACCCCCGGCTCGGCAGGACACGCTCGGCCCCAGGCGTCAGAAAGAAGGAGCAGTGATTCCGCTGCCGCAGATCTTGGGTGTAGGGTGTAAACAAGGGGCATTGAGAAGGCTTAGAGCCTTGGGGGTTGTTCGAAAATTTCTCTATCCATTCAAGGCTGATTTGCAAGTGTTGTAGTGCTGGTATTGAAAGAGTTGACAATAACCACAGAAACATAACTACACTGCCATTGCAGCACAAAGAGTTGAAACCTAAGGCGTAGTTTCCATCACCGTTCTGATAATCACCATCATCGTCATCACCGTCATCACCGTCATCATCGCCATCATTACCATCACCATCATCAGCGACATCATCATCTTCTTCATCACTTTCATCGTCACTACCATCGTCCAAGCCAGAATATACCCCTGCATGTATGTGTATTGAAGTATGTATATGCATTTTGTAAGACCACGAATAATGAAAGAACGTTTACATGGGCAGGTACACAGGCATGAAAGCGCCCATGCGTACATGTCCGGCAGGCAGATGCGTGCGCCTTTCTGCATCCATGATCACGTATGAACATTTCACGTGTGCGCATGAGCGTGTTTTCCTAAATACTGTGTCCGTATAGGGAAAGCCTGAGCCCAAGACTCATGCATTGCCGCCTAAATCTTATGTACAAAATGCCGGGGAGCGCTACACCCGAAGTCTCAAACCTCCAAACTGCAAGCCGCAGACCCTAAACCCTTAAACACTCGAACCCCTAAAAACCCTCAACACCCCGAACCCCGAACCCCGAACCGAACCACTAAACTCCCTCTCTCTCACTCCCCCAAGCAAAATGCTCTCACTGAGGTTGGCGCCGATCTCGGAGCCACTGCTGCCCTGCGCTGGAAATCCGGAAACGATGGGGAAGGGGGCCTTTTTTTCGAAGGCTTTTCTAGGGGGTTTAGGGTTTAGGGTCATGAGGATACGGATCTGAACAACTAGAATAACTAGAACAGCTACGGCCTAAGCACTCAGGCCCCTGTAGTTGGCTTAGAGGGCCAAGAGGGCTTCGGCTTTCGGTGGTGCCAGAGCGTTCAGAGTGTGCTTGTTGTGAAGCCCTCTGAGTGCATGGCTAGGATAGTATCACTCAGTATTTGGGAGTCTAACTGCTCAGAAGTGCACCATTCCTAAAAGAACAGGCAAACTCCTCCAACTTTGGAGAACAGGAGCAGTGAGAGCGCCGTAAAAGTATACTAAACCCGATACCGGGAAGTCTACTGCAAAGCCTGGCCCCAAACCCAGTGTCGGAGCCTCGAGAGACAAGTAGGTTTGCATGGTATTCTGCGGCAGTGTATAACCTTAAACTCTGAAACCCTAAATTGTAGCCCTAATCCTGCCAAACAGTGAAACAATAAAACAAAACTCGACCTTAGACTCTGAAAACACCTTGAAAACCCTTCGAGAAGCAGAAGCCTACTTCAGTACGTGAGCATCGCACCCTGACATCCGAAGCTGCAGGAGAAACGCATCCGGGGATCGGGCCACGGCCCAAATCTGGAAGTGCTCCCGGTCCACCAGCGCCGCATCCTGCACTTCTTGTGTTTCAAGTGTTAGGTTTTCGAGTGCAAGGAGTCGGGATTAGGGCCGAATTAGCGTTTAGGGATTGCGGTCTTGGGTCTTTTGGGCTTCGGGTGTCCTGGATGTCGGGCGTCAGGGACTTTGAACTTGCCCGATCCAAGGTACAACCATGAAAAAGACATACCTCGTCCATGAGCTAGCTACATCAGCACAGTACGAGTGTGTGCATCACATATGTATGTGTATATAGATGTGTGTTGTACATTTTACATATATGTACACGTGCACAATTTACATGGTCGGAAGCGCCATCATGCCCACGATACAACGCTATTTCTAAACGGAGCTTCGTGCGCGACTATACAGATGCGAAATCCTATACAAATGCGAAATCCAATGTCAAAATACATGGGCCTGAACAAGTGCCCCCTGTACTAACAAATAACGATCTTGAAGAACCCTGCATAAAGTGTTACCAACTGGCCGTGTGCTTTTGTAAAGGGACATACCAATCCCGAAGCAGATCTGCCTCTTGACCGAGCAGTGATTCGAAGAATTCCTGCACACTGCACGACACCACACGTCGCGAAGTTCAGAGTTTCATGGCTCAGAGCTTCATGGTTCAGGGCTTTAGAATTTGGTGCTTTGGTCTTTTAGTTTGTTTTATAAGCACATCGGAGCTTCTTTTCGAGCAGGCTTGTCTGTTCAGGCTTCAAAGCTTTGGGGCATGAGACCAGTGTTTAGGGCTTCGGAGGAACATGATCAGGATCAGCCTGCGAATTCTCACGGGCAGAGATGAGCAGTAGAAAATTGTTGGGTTGCGAGGATCCACGACAAGTCCGACTTTGAGAGGTTGCGACAGGGAAGTTTCACTCAGGGCATGCATGACCGCCGCCTATTCAATGTATGTGGCGGCAAGATATAGTGGTTTGCAGTACCTACCGAGAAGCCTCACTCATGGTGTAGGGCATTGGGTGCACATGCCAAGTGCTGGGTTTCCGGTCACTTTGCGGCATTAAAATCCAAGGACTTTTTTCAAATTAGCCACTCGAACCCCTCAAACCCCTTTATGCACAACTCCCAAAAAATGCCCCTAAGCCCCTAAAATCTAGAAGACCCCTGAAACCGCCTTCTGGAAAAGCTGCCCGACTCGCTGCGTCGCGGGCAGCTCGCAGCCTGCCTGGCTCTATCGGACGAATCAATGCGGAAAGGCGTAGGTTGCCTAATCAGAACCGTCACACCCTTCAATTGAGGAGTGTACCTTAGACTGCTACTCCTACTTCTATTCCTACTCCGACTACTACTACTACTACTACTACTACTACTACTACTACTACTGCTACTACTACTACTACTGCTACTACTACCACTACTACTACTACTACTACTACTACTACTACTACTACTACTACTACTACTACTACTACTCCTGCTGCTGCTGCTACTACTACTACTACTACCACCACTTCCACTTCCACTACCACTACTACTGCTACTACTCCTCCTGCTACTACTACTACTGCTACTGCTACTGCTACTACTACTACTACTACTACTACCACTACTACTACTACCACTACCACTACCACTACCACTGCCACGGCCACCGCCACCGCCACCACTGCTACTGCTGCTTCTGCTACGACTACTGTGATACTTGCAACCCCAAGCAAAACCAAATTCAAACGTGGCCCGCTCCCTGAGTTCAACTTGCATTCCGAACCTTCCCGGAAGGAGGTGAACAGTCAGGAGTCTGCCGACCCAAGCCATGCCTCCCACTGATGAAGAAGACTTCTCTGAGCGACGGCAGCCTGAGTTCAGGCGTCATTAGGTGTTGGGCTTGGTTTAGGGATCTAGGGCCCTAGGGTTCTGGGTTTAAGGGGCTAAGTTTGGGAGTTGAGGGCGAAGGATTTTGAGGTCTAGTGCCTGGGGACTCTGACTACTTCAGGTTTTGGGTAGTTTCGGTTCGTGGGCCCTGGGTTAAGGCTTCAGACTTGCGGTTCAAGTAAAGCTCGCGGCTTATCGGATTGCTGCTGTTTGCGGACCTAGGGTTTCGAGTTGAAGGAGCTGGGGATTTCGTCGGCTTGGGTAGCTAGGATTTGGAGAATGACGGTTTTGAGGCTTGAGACGTCCGGGATGGTTCGCAAATGGCGACATCTGCATTGCATTGCTTGCGCGCAGCTCACTTTCTTCATTTTCGCACCCAAGGGTTCAGGACCATGGAGTTCGTCAAGTCAACAAAACCACGTTTTGGGGCCCGAGGGTATGGGGTTTCGAGCTGAGCTGGAGAGTTGGCGCCATGAAACCCAGTAGTCCAAGACACGTAAGCCAAAGCCTGAAACCAAACAAGCACGACCATCTGTACCCCGTTAAACCCGAGACCCCAAAACCGAAACCCTAAACAAATTCACCTCTAAACCTTCAAGCAATCCCTGCACCTGCCCTCGACATGGAAGTGAAGTTTCAGAAAGCCCGGGACCCTGATGTAATGGAACAATAAACACTTGGATCCTAAGCTACAGGACCCCGAAGAAGGAACCTGAGTTCAACTCCGAAACGTCCGACAATACGAGGACCTTAAGCAGTAGAATCCGGTTTGGTGCATAATATATATATATATATATATATATACACTTGATTATGTGTCTATTTATTTATTCACACGCACACACGCGCCTTCAACTTTAATGTTAATCAGCAACCCTAAGGGAAGGTAGTATTTTTGAAAAATATTCAAGCTTCTTTCGAACTTCTGGAGACGCCTCGCTGGAGCTGCAGCGCAGCGTCCACAGCAGCTGCATGGCTCCTTCTCTGACTTTTGAAGAAGGATTACGAGGCTGAAGGCTTTTTTCTACCCCTGCAACAGGGTTCTTTACGGTGTCTACATGGGCTCTCTTTCTCTTCGGTACTTGCAGTTAGTTAGACTAAGTTCTCGGATGCGTTATGCGATAATTCTATAAGGATTATACTGGAACACGATTTCAAGTTATTGACATGATCGAGAGAAGGGTTTCTGGATGTGTAAGTGGCTTGGGATTCGATTTTGCAGTTAAGGACCGCCTACGAAAGGCTTCTATGCGGATGCTCCCCAGGATCCTATACAATCTGGTATAGTGATTCGAGCCATTAGGGTTTGATGGGCAACATCCTGTACTACCGCACGCTGTGTTTTACTATTAGGGGGCTTAGCTCTGTGTACGGGGGGATTCTGGCTGTCAACGGAAGACGACGACATAAGGTTTAGGGCTTTGGGTGTTTCTTCAAGCTGTCTGAAACTTCTCCACTTAAGCATAGTGTTATGGGGCTTTATCAGGACAGTATGGGACTGCACTGCAATCCTGCCATCCTTTCCTCTGCAGGTTCTGTCCTCCAGACAGCCTTGCCGCTGAATCTAAGATACTGGGACCAAAACCAAAGCAAACACTACCCCTGGACACCCAAAACCAAAGAAAACCACTGGTGTTAAAAAAGAAGTGCAGTGGCTAGATGAAAAAGAACTTTTAAAAACTATGCACATCATCTCCGAGCAGGGAGCCTGGTGCTGGATCGAGGCCTTCTGTAACGATCGGGCACGGTGGCGAAGGCAAGGAATGACTTTGCCTGCGGCTGAGGCTTTACACATATCCTAGAACCCTGTGAACCCTGTAACTCCACACCTCTACGCTTGCCCACAACCCCCAAACCAACGAAGCTGATCACTCCAGTTTGGGGTGGTTGTTCTTGTCTGAGCATTGCCGCTATCATGGTGAGGCTGATGACGATGAGGAGGAAGAAGAAGATGGTCATGCTATTGATGACGATGGTTGTCAAGGATGAAACGATGATGGCTATGAGTTCGGCTGCCAATATTGTTAAATATATACTGAAACCCGCCACCCTCCCTCCGCAACACTGTAAGAGTCGTGTAGCAGCGTTCTTGGACTTCTTAAGGAGAGCTTGGAAAAACTTGGATTGAGGATTCGGATCTTTCCGACGGACTTGGCCGAAGAGATGTTGCTGCTGGCTTTGGGAGAACTCGAATGGCTTTGAAGCGTTTAGAAGTTCTAGGGTTTAGGGAGCCTGAACATGTAGACTGAAAGGATACCTCATGGACAGCCAAGTCACTGTGCATCCGCTACTGCTCGATGATTCCTCCTTGGCCGCCAGACACTCAAAGCGTTGGCGAGCACTGACCCCTAAACCATCAGCCCTAAGCACTTAAACCTCTGAACCTAGCACAAGCAACAAAAACAATGTCATACCAAGCTTAGGGGTTTTTGGGGTTGTTTGAAATTTAAGATGCGCAAGGGTGGTGATACTAGCAAGAGCACAAGCAGTACGATGCCAATCAGCAGTGACCTGTGAACCTTCAAGCTTAAACCTGTCAACGAAAAATTTGAATCCAAGCCGAGCGTCAAAGGTGTTGGTGGTGGTGATAGTGTTGCGTTGGAAGCCTCTGCCGCATTAGGCTTGGCTTGCGCTTTAGGGCTCCGGGTCGGTCTAAGGTTTGTTCAACGTGTCTGGTTTGGCTTTTGGCTCGACATGGAGCAACACCAGGGTGTCGTATAAGGCATAGTGGCATAGTAGGCCACAGGCATCACAAGAAGAAGAAGAGGAGATGTCTTCGTTTGCAAATATTTGGGGCGTAATTGTAAGAGTAAGTAGCCAGATGTGCTTCTGTTGTACACATTTCTCCACATTTTCCCGCACCATGATTTGTACATCATTTAAAGCATTAATTGAGCCCTAAGGCGCCACACCCGAAATGCGAAACCCGGAGTGCCCTCAAGAGCCAAATCCCGACCCCCAAAGCCCTGAACCCTGCACCCCCAAAACTCTATAGACCCCTAAAGCCCAAAGCCCGAGACCCCCAGAGACCCTAGATTCGAAACTCCGGAAGCCTCTCAGAGCCCTGAATCTTTACGAATCCTGCAGACACCATCTGAGGTGCAGACTCTCTGCGATGGCACCTGACTGTGTTTCTGCGGTTCCGTCGACCCTTCGCACTGGGAGTCTGGAGCAACCTTCAACTCCAAAGATCCCCCAACACGTCGGTAAGCAGCTCGTCCTCAAGGGTGTGCAGTCCCCTGAATGGGATTCTCGTACTTCTAACCCTGCTTAGAAGCCCTACTGGCCGGTCCCATGACCCTTGCAGAGTTGGCTTTCCGTGGCAATGCGGCCGTGCCACGGAGGGCACTTGGGTGTCGGAGGGCGGCGTCGAGTACAGAGACGCCCGTTGCGATTCCTCGGAACGGTTGATGATATAAATCCTGCATTACTAGGATACCCAGTAACCTAAGAATAAAAAGGCCTCTCTTTTTGGTATTGGGTAACTTTATAAGGAACCTAGGACGAATAAGGGTACTACTGGGCATCCTAAATTACCTTAAGGACCCTAATTTATGGCAGTTATGGTATATTCCTTATTATATTAATTATTATGGGTAATGCAGGATTTATATCATCAACCGAAGCTCTCGGAAAGTTGCAGAGGCTCAGGCTGTAAGCTGGATGTAATCTGCGACATTTATTTATTTATTCCCTCTGCTTGCATCCCATGCTTTGACTCAACGTGTAGTAGCACCTTGCAGCTACGACTTACGGAACTACTATAGAGCCCTACCCTGCCTAACACACTCCCTAAACCTAAAAGAGAAAAACATAACCAACAAGCTCTTGCGTCATCCACTCAAGACCGAAAACTCACATTGCTTTCAAACACCAGGGTACAACCCACCTGAGACAACCGATCAAAACCTCAAAGAAACTCGAAAGCATCTTAAATGCTCACGAGCACGGAAGCACCTCGGTGCGGCCCAGTGTCTGTCCTAGCCGTGGCTGGTGCACGGCCCGGTATAGCGATACCCGGCACAGTCTGCGCGTTGAGCACATTCGTCTGGGGCGCCTGTGGAAAGGGCTATGACCACGAATCCTCAACGGCCCCAAGTGTGGTAGGGTTCCCCTAGTCCGTAGTTACATCAGCTCCGGCAGACAGACCCCAACCACCCCAAGTTTCTGATTTTGGGTGATGGCAACCCATATAGCAACCCGAGGTAATGATCCTTCGGTTATGATAAAATCGCGTGATCATAAGGGCCTGCCTCTGAGGTTTTGGCGTCAGGTGCATAAGTATACCTGCACAGCGGCGTTACTTCCTCCAGGTACAGTCTGAATCCTAAACCCCACACCCAAAGCCTACAGAATACCCGAAAGGCTGTTGCTCCACCTCGGGCAGCGCTTGGCCCAGCGACAGCTGCTTGGGGAGGACAGGTATCCTTGGCTTTAGGTCTTCTGCAGTTCAGGCCTCTTCTGGCAGTTCAAGCTGGGACGTAGAGTTTGGGGTTTTCTGCTGTTGGTTGGGGGTGGGCTTGGGATGGAAGACTGAAGTCCCCTGCTGCGCTCTACCGGGTCCCCTCCTTCGAGAGGTTGTGCTTTCTCCGTAGATTTTCGGAGAAAAGGTTTCGTACCACGCTTTGACTTCTCGAGGATTGGCCTGAAAGCCCAAGACATCCAAACACATATCGGCAAAGAGATCGAGCTGAAGTTGAAGTTGCTCAGATCTGACACCCTGGCTGAAAGCACATGGATCGTTCTGGGAGGGAAAGTAGGGCTACAAGTATCGGAAATTGGGGCTGTAAGTTCTCCCCTGACGCTAAAATGCTGAAAGCTACACACCTCTCCTGGGGTTCAGTCACAAGGGTCCTTGCAAAGAGGATCCTACTCCTTCGGGCTCGGCAAGAAGACTCCCGTCGTGCTTGCCCCAAGCCCCACAAAACTTACAAAACCTCAGATGCCGAGTCAAAAAAGGCCCGTGAAGCCCCTGCAAGCCCCCAAAACCAGCCTCTGCGGATACAGACTGTGGTGCAGCTGAGCATCATTTGGGTTGGGACGGGGTGTTCAGGGTCTTTGATCACAGTATGGGGCTGGGGACAAGGCGACCGCACCGGGGTGCTTTCCGCTATCGGCCCAGGGATGGGCGCCTTGCGCTGTATCGGCGACGTGTGCCGTATCAAATGACCTCGGCTGGGACTCTTTGACTAACCGGTTGGCGAGAAGACCAACCCCGGACCCTCGACCCTAAAGCATTGGACGGCCTAAGTCTCTTGTTTTCAGTGACAGATGCCGAACCCGGTGCCCAAGCTGGAAGAAGCAGCGGTTTCGACATCGAGCGTAGCATGTGCATTAAACGATCATGATGTTATCGCTTCGTTAAACCATCGATGATGATGCGCACGAACAGTAGCTAATGCCAGTAGGCGCTCGAGGAGCAGCAGTAGCACAAGCATCCGCAGCAACTACATCACAAATACAAGCAAGATAGCGCCTTCTGGCCGTGGCTGTCACTGTCAATCTTGGGTAGTTTCATGCCAAAGAAGCCCGATACATCTTCATGAAGAAACATACACTGTTTTCGCCTTAGGGTGTATTTGACTCTTCATTCAACGGCCATGCAAAGTGCTTAGTATGGCGGCTTAAGGTTTTCGACTTGCTTACAGATTGCCTTGAGGCAGCAGCATTACCCTTTCCTTCCAACTCCTCGAAAACCCTGCATCCCAAAGCCCAGCCCGCAAGAATCCCCATGAATCCTGCACACATCCTAAGCCGTTACAAGTGAATACCCGCACATACACCCACTAAACATACCATGTGCCATGTACTCTCCAGTAAAAAACATGCCAAGTGAAGCTTTCAAACTTTGAAACACCTACACGCGAAACCCTAAAACTCGAGGCCCTAAACCTCAAACCCGAAACCCCCAAGCCCGAAACACTAAACCTCAAACCCTAAGCTCCGAATAACCCTCCGTGCTTGCCGGGCAGCACGGACGTGGCGAAGTAGTCCTCTCCGCACCCGGTGAGCCGTGCAACCGCATCTGATTTCCGGGTTTCAGTTTGAAGGCAATAGAACAGGGTTTAGGGTCGTTTAGGGTTTAAGGTTTAGGCGCCGGCATAATTTGTAAGAGTATCGCCTTGCGCCACCATGTACCTCTAGCATGGTGGGACATCCCCTCAGTACCCATCGACTAAGATAAGATCTGCACATTCTGTTCTTGCTCCTCGGGGACTCCAAGGTCCAAAGCTTCTTGGGGCTCTCTGGCATGGCATTCGGCTTTTTATATTATAAATATATAGTCATCCGTCATTACAATAGGGTTTGTGACCATTCTTGAGATGTAAATATCCAGGGACAATAAGAAAGGGATACTCAACAACTATTCATGCCCCAAGACTAATGAACGGAACTTCGATCTCTGCCCTTTCGTCCAAGCTTCAAACCTCTCTAGCTGGACGCGGCTGCCACAAACCTCAGAAACTGAAATGTCACGGCTAACGTAATGACCCCAATCATCGCTAAGCAGCAAGAATCCCTGAGCCTGACATTCACCCTAAACTCCAACCAGAAGATCTCTGCACCCTCCGCCCGATCTGTAGCTCGTGCCTGTCCACAGTTATCAGTTCGTGGGAATCGATACACGAGTTATAAGCTGAGCCTCCAGGGAGCCCTCAACCCAGTGCACGGCCTGCTGGTGCGAGTGGTGGCGCACCAGGACCTGATGTTTCTGGGTAACTCAGAGGCTCCAATCTTCCACTGGATATGGGCTTCCACGAGCTAAAGAAGGTTCAGGGACTAGGATTTTGGGCTTGGGGCCTAGGGACTCTAAAAACGCAAGCAGCTTCATGGAAGCCAGGAGGAGAAACTGTGGACGAGCTACAGTAGAAGTGCTGACGCTGAAATGCTTGGGTGAAGCGACCTGCTTGAATACCGACGGAATACCCACTTGCAACGGTGAAACTTGCATGTGTAGTCCTTGCAGTGGACCAGAACCCTGTCGACAATAACAGTGACCACGACAGGAACCGTTCTGCTTACGACAGATACAGTCACCAGAACAAACATCACTGTAGTGATCAGGAGTCCTCATAACTGTAATATATATTAGGACTCAATACAGATCAAATTCTGAGGCAGGCGAGCAAACTATGTCGAACGAAAGTTCCAATGAACGGTTTCTCGTCTCGATCGTGAAGTTCGGGTAAACATTTGTATACTGAGACAAGCAATGCAGATCAGCGGCAGGAGCACCAGGCTGCGGTGAGGGGCCATCGATGCCTGCATGATCCTGAGACTTACAGCAGTATCTGCGAGAACAAGCACGCTGGATATGCAGAAATCTGAGAGTGCACTAGATCGGGACATCAAACCATAAGCGAATATGCGACAATGGCACCCGACTTGAAATCATGGTTCCGAACCTTCACTGAAGGCCCCATCCATCTTGTGTTCAGGACAACGAACTCCTCTTCAAAGCCAGGGCTGCTCAGGTCTGTCAAGTTCTCGTGCCGAGGCTTCTAGCAACCGCTGACGGATCGCTCAGCAAGCTCTGAACCCCAAACCTTAAATCCGAGACCTTATATAAAGGCTCTAAAGCGGCCCAGGACACAGGAGGCGGCTGCGGCTGCATAGGCGGCGACTGCGGCTGTATGCGCATCGGCTGTGGGGGCGAGGCGTGGCGCACAGGTGGCGGCTGGGCCTCGCTTTTGCAGCAACTAGCAGGCTTATCATCACTGTGAGTGGTACTCGTACTACTCGCGAGAATATGTGCATATGAAACTTTGCAAGCTCGGAAGTCTTAGTGGCCGAAAAGTCTATACTGCCCAAACCCTCAAGCCCCAAATGATGCCAGACCCTCGCAATACCCTGCGAACCCACTCGAGCCCATTCCAGGTCCCTCCCACTCGGATTTGGGTGTGGTTTGTTGCGGGATTTGTTGTCTCTGGAGATTCAAGTTAAAGTGGTTAAGGCGAGTCGCAAGGAGCCCGGATTGCGCGCATGCTCACAGCTTTGCCCATCAACAGACCAACCAAGCCCCTGAAACTGAATCACGATTCCTAAAACCGCACAGAATCACGCAAAAGCATGCCTAAACTAAAAATCCTAAATCCAGATCCTCCCGAGGGGCTCCCAGGCGAGGCGAGAAGTGCTCCGGTCGGGGTCCCGGTTGAGGCGACGCCCGGCCCGGCGCGTGGCGCACGGCCCTTGGGCGAGGGTGACTTTACCACATAAACGCAATGGATAGAGGACATAAAGAGAAGGCCTGCATAGGTCACCACAAGGGCTATTGCGGGTGTCCGAAAACACCTTTCTGAACATTCGTGGGGGGATGGATGCCAACAATGGCTTGTGGCCCGTGAAACCCATTGGAGGACGTGAGGAAAGTCAGGCGGCAACTGCCCCCCAGACACTCAATCCTCAATCCCCGAAGTCTTCGAAAGCAAGACAAGCATTAGGCTTTGGCCTTGCGATATTCATGGGTTAAAGTCTCGGGTTTGCTCATTATAAGCCCGACTCAAATCAAAAAAACACAGAAACCCTGAGCACTGAGCCTGCGACCCCTGCCTTTCAGAACCTCCCTCCTAGACCCAGACCTCGAGGACTTGGGTTTCAGGACAGCCCCTACCACAACTCCAGGGTTGCGGGTCGAGATTTGGCCGTGGGGTCTGGAATCTAGAACCTCTGGCACCCGGCGAAAGAAACTACCGTTTTGGATGCTGTCGAACACAAGCCACCCCATTCAGGAACTGACCTGAGATCGAGCTGCCACAACTCCGAAATGTCAACTCCGTCAAGGGCTGCAAAACCCTAGCTGCAGCCAAACCCTTCACGCTTCCAAGCCCCCAAACCTCATCGAAAACCCCTCAACACGCGAACACGCCACAATCCCACAGACAGAGCCTGCCCTAAACCCTAAACCCCTAAACCCCTAGACCCTAAACCCCTAAACTCTAAACCCTAAACCCCTAAACCCTAAACAGCCCGCCCCCCCATGCAGGGAGCCAAGATGCGGCACAAACTGGGGCGGACCCCCCCCGGGGGCGCTGTGGGCGACGACGCGTCCGTTGGGGGGAACGGTGCTTCCTTCGGGGTACTTGGAGGATCATGGGACTTAGTTATGTTCCTAGAAGGGCTCCTTAAAGGGATCTATAGGGTTCCTGAAGGGGATCTATAGGGTTTAGGGATTAGGGTCTACTTGGAAGATCATGGGACTTAGTAAGTATGGCTATAAGTACCTTAACTAGGGTTATAAGTATGGTTACCTTAATCATGACCGTAATTACTAAGTCCCATGATTTTAGGTAGGGAAGTGATGCAGCGCAGGATGTGGAGGTCAGGACTACGGGTTGAGGATTTGAAGCTTTAGTTGAAGCTTTGGGATCTGAGTCTTTGGGTTCAGGATTTATGGTAATTGATAGGCTTTAGGTGCTTCCTGTGGGCTTGGGCTGCACGCAAAGTTGTGTCACTCCCGGCCGCCCTGATCCATTCGTGGATTACTGTGCTGCCAACCCGCGGCGATTCTGGCAAAAACGTTCGGCGGCTGTGCAAAACGCTAGCCGCTAGTCCGTCAGGCGAGTTGCTTAGAAGCAGCCCGGTCCTAGCCCACCGGGATCACAAACAAACACACACCGATGCACCAGAAATGCCACAAAACCTCGTGGGATACAGTAGAAGCCAGAAAGTTGGAATATCATTATCGTAACCCCTTTAAGGTAAATTATAGGGGATCCTACCATTAATCCATATTCCAACTTTCTGGAGTTCCCTTTAGGAGATCTAAACGGAAGCTCAGAACTTCCGGCTGCCCAGGCCCAGCCCGACCCCGGGTCCTAGGTGCGACGTCGCCGGCGCGAACCTGACTTCTTGGACCCGGTATGCATGTGGGAGTTTCCGAAAATTGGGGGTACCTTGCTTTGAGGTCCTTATAATAAGGATCCTACTATTTGGGGTACTATATTAGGGTCCCCTATTTTCGGAAACTCCCATGTAAGACAAGCATGTTCCTGAGAATAGGCACGATAGCAACGGTGATGCTGAAGCGACAGTTGACACTCGAACCAAACAAACCGGTACAGTATGTATGTGCAGGGGTGTCAGGTTTTGTTTTCACGCCGCTTCCCTGAAACCTGAACTCAGTGATAGGACTTCCCTAGATTATGAGAATTGTAGGGTGCCGCACGGTTGCGAAAGTCCGTAGCGGGCTCGATGGGAGATAATGGAACTAGGCTCGTGTGCTGTTACGGATGTTGAAGGTCTCTTTAAGGTCTAACCAGGAGCTGTTGTCACACTGCAGTGAAATGCCGGAGGTGTTGGAATGATAATCACTGTTGGGCCCAGACACAAGCACCCAGGTCTCTAACCAGCAGCAGCACCACCACCACAGCCCCATTACCACTACCGCCACGACGACCACGACGACCAAGACTACCTCCTACCTATGCTACAAGCTGCATGTTTAGGGTTTAGGGACTCCCAGGACGAGGAGGCTTAACGCTGGCTGCAGGCGTCTAGCATCTTCGAATCCGTAACCTGAGCCCTAAGGGAAAAGCATAAACTTTGTATCGACCCAAAGCCCAACCCTACTAGAGACACACAGGTCAGGATAATCGGAGGAGCATACCCTTATAGCCTGCATAAAACTCCATGATGACACCACCCGAACCCCATCTGATTATGAAGGCTCCTTTACAAAACGCTTTCCAGCATTGAGCTCCAGTGTTTCATAAGCGAGGCGCGACTTCGCTGGAGGCAAGGCCGTCGCAGATTTTCGAATAGCCAAGGGCCTGGGAATTTTGGCTACAACTGGTGATACGGCTTGGATGATATGTGCAGGCATACGACGGCTTTCAGTACAAGGATTGGTAGTACCTCTGTTACTGCCATAACGACGACGGGAACAATGACTATTTCGAGACCTCTCTTCGTTTCTTAGTGATTAGCCGGCGGATGCAATGGTGGCGATGATAGCCGCCGTTCCATTGGTCTTGCGGCAACTAGTATCTAGTGTGCGTGCCGGCATCACCACTACGATCTGTAGACCATGAGTGGCTGTGTCGCCCATATCAAAACCTTCAACCCCAAGACCCAACAACACTCGACCAGGAACCACGGAAACGCCACTGCTTTGCCTCATCACGCACGCCAACTGCCACTAAATGCGAATCAAACGAACTTTTCATGCGGAACTTCCACCATGTCTTTTTAGTATGAATGCCTTTATTTAAGGCGTACGATTCAGGCTATAGGGTTAGGATGTAGGGCGCAGGTTTGGAGCTTGGGGAAGACGTAAGGCTGTCAGTTTTTGCCGGAGGGTTTCGACTTCAGGTTTAGACGCTGGACCTTGCTATGCCATTCCTGGTCTCCGTTTCGTGTTCTGTCGATAGAAACTGTGAGTCTGAATGATGAGGCTCAAGGCTGTATAGTGGCTGTTGCACCTTGTGCATAGCCATCTCTGTCCACTCGTTGTACAAGTTGTACGGTGCTGGTTCCACACGGGTGGCTGTCAAAATTAGGGTCCCTTTTTGGGTCCTTATTATAATACGGCACCTATTATTTAGGGTACCCAAAAAGGGACCATAATTTTGACAATCACCCACACGAGTCTAAGCACTACAACAGGCCTGTACGACAACCGAGCGGTTCCCTGCCAAGCAACGGAGATGCTGCCCCAGTTCTTGGTGAGCGCATGCCGGCAACAGGCGGGGAACCTGCAACGAAGGCCATGAACCAGGGCTTTTGGGGAATATGGTTTTAAAACGAACCCTGGGATCCCAACAGCCGTTGCAAGCTGCTTGTAGGAGATTCCCTAGGGCTTTGGCGGTTGTTTCGTGGCAAAAATCATGACTGGAACTTGCTCGAGTGGGGCTACGTATATGGCGTACTGTACTACAGAAATGTGGATCGCAAGCAGGTTCGACTACGAATTACTGAAACCCTCTCGCGGGAGCTTTCGACAGTAGGGTCAGTAGGGTGTTCAGTATACGCCTTACATACCCCGCGAAAGAACACACAGGTCGGATCTCCCAAAATATGAATTTCAAGGGACCCTATAGCCTCGAAGATTTATCCAGGTGACGGCTTGGGGCCTAGGGTTCTCGGGCTGCTGGCTGAGAGGTAAGCGAGGGTTTTGATCGGAGTATCGGAGTGCCGCGACATGCTCTCTCGAAGAAAACCAGCAACGGCACTACGAAGGAAGCCTTCGACCACCCCAAAAACGTAAGCCCTTCGGTCAACCGGTGCTCCAAGGTTGGCAGGAAAGAAGTCTTAGACGTAAATCTTGCAAGAACTAGTTCATGGTTGGGATAGGACAAAAATTTACATGTTTATTCCTTATTGGGTTTAAGTACCCATAAACATGCAAAATGTTACCCAACTATGACAAAGAGAAGTCAATCGTAATGAGGCACGGCCCCTCGGGCGCCTGCTCGCTGGATCGGGCCGGGTGACTTTGCTGCCCGGTAAACCATCTGTGGCGGACCGCCTTGGTCTCTTTTTTACGGTGGTATAGGGTACCTTGTACTTGCAGAACAAACAGACGGTTACGGAGTTAAGTACCAAGGATCCCTTGCCAAGGCTCACCATCGGGACTTGTCACTTGCTGACGAGTCGACAAAACTGCGAAACGAAAAAGACAGACCGAGAGCCTTGACATGAGAGGAAGAGCATCGCTGACTTCACAGAACGGTCCGGGTATGAAAGAATTAGACAAGAACCTGGTGGACTTTTTATAGCATGCTCATACGGTTCTGGCTTGGGGCTTCGGCTTTGCAAGGCAATGCAGGGGCTTTTGCGGAAGTACCTGGAAACGACGCCGACTCCCAATCTCCAGAGACCGTGACTAAGGTCAGCAACAAAGTGCCGCTCCCCCCCCCCTTCAAGGGGTTGAGCAGCGCTTCCTTAGCCGCTGGTTTAGGCCTCCGAAACCCCAAGAAGACAAATCCGAAGTCCTACGCCCGGAACTTCAGCCCGACGGTTCCGACAACGGCCCTCCAAGTCCTACAGGCGAGAGCCGGGCCTGGCAGGCCAGAGACAAACTGCCAGGCCAAGGCGAAGTTTGGGGCTTTGCATGGTGCCTGTGACCGTGGCATCAAGGGTTTGTGTTTATCCTGGTTTGATAGGGCTGATAAAGGCTTACTAGAGAGGTTTTTAATAGTGCCCTTCATGCTGCTTCTTTATAGTGCTTGATGGGGGTCACATGGATTTTCCGATTGACGTTTAGGAAGTTTAGGGTTGGGTTTCAGCAGTGCAAACGCCGAGGTTTTGGGGGCTCCTTCGAGAACGGGTCCTGTGGGGTCTTCCATTCAGCATTGAGGCTTTAGGGACAACGTTTCGGGTTTAGAGATGGGGGGCGGTAATGATGTGAATGGGGAGGAGAGCGGAGGACCACAGAATTTCCCGGAACCTTCAATCTTCACCCGAAGCACGGCACCCCGGAACCTCCAAAGCTCAACACAGCGCTCTGCACAAATGCATCCCTCCGGCCTTCAAGATTCAACTCCTTAGTACTCTGACTCAAATTTACTCCCCAAACCGAAAACATCCCACGACCAGAACCCGAAACCGCTGAACACCCCCCCCCCCCCGTTTGGCCGGCCCCACGTAGAAAAAAAAAACAACAACACCAAAGCAACCCTAAACCCCTAAACCCCTAAACCCTAAAGATCCCTTTAAGGAACCCTATAGATCCTTTTAAGGAACCCTAAACCCCCCCCAAAGCAACCCGCTTTCGCCCCCGGACGGGGCCGGGGCCCGGGGCCCCGGCCTGACCGGGTCTGCCAGCAGGCGCTGCCGCAGAGGAGGGGGCACTGTAGCCTTCGATCTCTCTCGGTTTTAAGGATCTTCAGAAAGTCGGAAGGGTTTTGGGGTTTATGGCCGGTGCCCTTACGTTCCGAAGATGGCTAATGTTTAGAGCTCAGGCGTGCCTGAAACCCAAACGCATGCTGAGAGGCATGCCAAACTTGAAAACCGCATCCGGGCCAAAGGCTTGTTAAGAGCCCGTGCACGCCAAGCTTGAAACCCAGATTCGGCTGAAAGCAACCTGAAACCCACATTCGGGCCAAAGGCATGTTGAGAGCCCGGGCATGCCAAGCTTGAAACCCAGGTTCGGGCCAAAGCCGTGTTGACAGCATGGGCGCCAAAATTGAAACCCAGGTTCGAACCTGAGAGCCCACTTGAAACCCACGTTACGCTCGGGCCAAAGCCAAGTTGGCAGCTCGGGCATGCCAATCTTGGAGGGGACGGGGCTGGCCGTGTTTCACACCATTTGGCTCACACCCAGCCAAGGCCTGGCCCCAAAACGGCCGCGAAGTATTGTCTAGAAGCCTATGAGTCAGCTTGGTCCACCTTTGTCCCCAAAAGCTGTTCGTCATGATTGATGTGTCTCCCCCTCCTTCCTCGTTTGAATATGTACAATGGGTGATCTCCCTGGCCCAAAAGACCCGGGCCTGCCGCAGTGGCGCCATGCTCCAGGCTTGCTTTGGCCGCCGGCCCCTGCGACGGGGGCAACAGGGCTTGTACTCGACAATGTAGGAATGCGGGGCTTGGAGCTTGGAGTTTAGGGCACGGTTTAGTTTACGGGTCTGGGTTTGTTCGGTCCCAAAATCTTGACACCGCGACCATGCGTTCACAAAAACACCTCGCTCCGAGGCTTGAAAACCTGAGCCTTAAAGCCTGTGTAGGGCCTTCTCGGGCTCAAAACCTCAAGCTGAACCCTCGACCACCAAGCCAAACCTATTGACCCCATATCTTCTCCCTAAGATTTCCGCAGAAATGCACAAAGCTCTTCACTCTGGATCCGGGCGGCTACAGGAGCTACCCAAAGATGCGACCCCCGGAAAAACTCTAAATCCAAAGGAGCTCCCAGCCTCAGCACATGCGTCAACTCGATTCAGGCTGTACTCAAATTCAAGGCCTCTCCCAGCCCCTGCTGAAAAGCGAAGGAACATGTCACCATATCGTCCCAGCCTGAACGCTCATGGCTGTAGACGCACCTCGCCCTAACCTTTGGCTGCGCACGCCGCCTTGGGGGGTCCGCTTGGAAGCCGTCGGCTTTGGGTCTGCGCTTTCGCTCTGAGGGTTTGGGGGTTTGGGGGGTTTGAGGGCTCAGAGCGTAACGCGTAACGCGTAGGCGGCTGAGGGCTTCAGGTATCGGGCTTCGGCGTTCGGCGATTTTGGATTTTTTTTTGCACATACGCTCCAGTCACTTGTCCGCTTCGAAAGAGCTTTCATGAGATGGAAGCAATTCATGCAGCTGTTGCGCGTGTTTATCTACTCGACAGTAAAGGCCTGGCGCTGAACCAGAGATTCAAAGCTTCAGGCTTCAGGCTACAATTTAGAGTCTAATTTGGCTCTTCGACTACCGGTCTCGGGTTTGATTCAGGCTCCTGCCTCCAACCCGCAACAACCCTGTGAAACCTTTGCGTCTCCCTGTAAACACCCCCCCGTTTGAAGTTCCTGCACCCTTGTAAAGCCCTAGTCCAGTTCTGCGGGCCCATGGAGTCGTGGGCCCTCAACCCCAAAACCCCTAGTCCGACGGAGCCTGCGGTGTTAGGTTGAGGACATGGGCTGGGATCAACGGGGGGATGCAGGCGTGGGAGTTCGGGCCGATGCCCTGCGCAGAGGGCACTCCGAGGCTCCTTTTCGACTCAGGGCCGCAGCTGCGATTCGCGACGAGTCGGAGGATGCGGAAAAGGGTCCTCTAAACCATAGCCCTGTACCCGAAACCCCAAACCTTAGTTTCAAAGAAGCAAAGCTCAAGCTCTCGTCCAGCCTCTTCTTATGCTTCTGATAGGCTTCTTCCAGGCTTCTTATACAAGGCTCTTAAAGCGCTGAGAAGAAGGGCTCAAGGACTTCGTATCGTAGAGCTGTGGGTTTGAGTGGCACAGTTTCCGCTCTGAACCTCCAATTTCCTACTTCTTGCAGCAGGCCATGTCAGAAAGAGGTGATTCCCGGCCTGAGCGGCAGTGTAGAGACCATGGCAGGAAGGTTAGCACCGCATTTGGGGTGGGCACCCTTCACTGCATTGCGTTAGGATTGCTACTCTTAACCTTTTGGTGCTCCAGGATTGAGTGCGAAGGCTGCAGGATGGCTTCGACATCGGCGTGACTGTGACTGGGACTGGGCTTCACATCCTACTTGTTACCGATGCGGTACCATGCGTGATTGTTGATGCTGCTAAGATGCTGTTGCTGGCCGTGGTATTGCTGTGGCCGAAGCAGATTCGGCGCTATCCGTATTGTTTTATTTTCAGTGTACCACTTCTACCTCGTCGACGGCGGCGGAGACCGCCGCCACCACCACCGCCGCCGCCAAACACAACCACAGCTTGGGCTGAAGGTCTGGATGCCTGGAGTCAAGTTCGAAACCTTCCTAAAGGCTGAAGCAGTGAACCTAAAATCCTAAACCATACACTCTGAACCCAAACCCTGAACGCGCATGAACACCCCATGCAACCTTCCAAAATCCTGACGAAAGACCCTCACAGAAATCATCCTTGGCCGCTCTGAGGCGTCGACCCACGCACTTCCGCTGCATGCCATCCCAGGCGCACCTGTGGGAACTGTGAGGTTTAGCAGTTGTAAGTTTATGTAGGATTTAGGGGCTGGGATTGGGGGTGCGGGATTTGTGTAGAACAGGTGAATGACTCATGACTCAGCGTTGTATTGAGCTAGTTTGGTGCCGGGTTCTAC